TTTGTGTATATAGTGCCTAACATGTGTGTCCTTGGAGACCAGAAGAGGATGTGTGATCCCCTGGAATTGGTTAGGGAATGGTTGTGAGGCTCATTCATGCCTCCACCTTCTGAGAGCTGAGACTAAAGATGTGGAATGCAACCATTCCAGGGAGTCAGTTTTGATAAACAATATACTTATATAAAATAGCAGAAAGTAAACATAAGCCTTTGACATACACTATTAATCCCAGCAAAGACTGATGGAGGATGGTGAGTTCAAGATTTACCTGGGCTATATAGAGAGACCGTTTCTAAATAAAATATGTTCAACTACAAAAATTAAAGTCTTTATTTTGTTTGCTTGTTTGTAGGTACACAAGTCTCTGAATTTTGTTTCAACACTGCTCCAGATTACTATGTCAGAACAACTGGACGTACCTGTGAGACAGGCAGGCAAGTTTCTTAAATTGTTTTCTTCAATGCACAAATAAAAGTACTGTAATTTCCTTCCCCGAGAATCCATTACTTTTGGTGTGTCTAACAACAAGTTTCTTGATATTTGAGAGGATTTAAAGGGACATTTGAGATTTGTTTTCATATTGTGTATTAGTGTTTCGTACATGTAAGTGTGTGTGCATTGTGCGCATTCATTGCCCTCAGTCAGCAGAGGGTGTCACATCTGGACGTGGAGTTACAGTCAGTTGTGAGTTGCCTTTGTGGGTTCTGATAGTCAACCTGGGTTCTCTGGAAGAACACCTAGAGCTTGTAATTTATTTATTTTATGTGTGTGGATGTTTTTGCCTGTGTGTGTCTGTGGAGGCCAGTAAAGAGCATCACTACCCCTAGAACAGGAGTTAAGACCATGTGAGTGCTGGTAATTGAACTGGGTCCTGGAAGATTAGCCAATGTTCTTAACCTTGGAGTCTTCCTATGTTCTTTTAACGATTTTAATTTTATTATTATCATAATTGCCTGTAACTCCAACTCAAAGGTTACATGGCCTCTAATCCCCAAAGTTTTACTAGAAGTATTCAAATGTAAAAAGATTAGTTCTTGCTGGGCGTTGGTGACACACCCCTTTAGTCCCAACACTCGGAGGCTGAGGCAGGCCGATCTCTGTGAGTTCAAGGCCAGCCTGATCTATAGTGCAAGTTCCAGGACAACCTCTAAAATAATACAGAGAGAAACCCTGTCTCAAAACACCCCCCCCAAACTATTGCAGTCTATAGTTTGCATATTGGAAGGTTAAATTATACTTAATTTATTTAAGTATGGTTAAAATGGAAGCAGTTAAACTGTAGAATCAGCTCTTATGCAGTTAGTGGTAGAGCATGTGTTAACATAGTTAAGACCCTGTATTTTATCCCCCGGTACTACAATAGACAGGTACTACAATAAACACCCACGAACTTTCTATAAATTTAAAAATCTAATCACTAATTTTAAGGTGACATTCCTGGTCTAATTGAAATTTATTTATTTATTTATTTATTTATTTATTTATTTATTTATTTATTTGGGTTTTTCGAGACAGGGTTTCTCTGTGGTTTTGGAGGCTGTCCTGGAACTCAATTTGTAGACCAGGCTGGCCTCAAACTCACAGAGATCCGCCTGCCTCTGCCTCCCGAGTGCTGGGATTAAAGGCGTGCGCCACCAACGCCCAGCTCTAATTGAAATTCTAATGCATGGCATTATGGTACTTTCATCTGCTAGGCTTGGGTTCATTTTGGTGTTATAGTAGTTCATTTAGGGTAGACTGAATCCTGTTATACTTGCACTGTAAATTTTCAGTTTGTATACCAAGTAAAATAAGTACACATTCAATTCCTGTGTTTGTTATATTGGAAAGAAATACTCAGATACAGTGAGGACTGTCAGGTCCTAAGTTTTGTTCTTGATGTGTTGTGGGGGATAAACCTAATTATATAGTAGTTTTAATATGGAATATGCCAGCTCCATGTCTTTTATTGTAGGTATAGTTTAGGTTTTTTTTTAATACCTTAAGATTAAGTATTTGCCAGGCGATGGTGGTGCAAGCCTTTAATCTCAACACTCTGGGAAGTAGAGACGAGCAGATCTCTGTGAGTTTGAGATCTACAAAGCTACACAGAGAAACCCTGACTGGAAAAGTAAAAAAAAGAAAAATTAAGTATTAATTAAATACTTAAGATTCAATCACCTTTATTTAAATGGGTGTAGGACTTCAGTGGAATTTGCTAATCAGAAAGCTAGTGTCCTACATTTTAGGGATCAGTTTCATGTGTCACATTTGTTATCCATATTTTCCAGACAGCTGAGTAAAAAGTCTTGTTAGTGATCTACATCATGCTGCATCATCGGCTTGTTAACTGTCAGATAGCAAAGTGCGAAGGCAGCAGTATGGTGGCTGGCGTCAAGCAGATCGTAATCTGACTTTTTTTTGAGCACAGCAAATTTTCTCATAAAATATTATGAATTTGAAGTGCTGTGTGATAGAAATACTCGATTTAGACATTTGAGAACTTTTATGTACTCAAGTGCCCTATAAAATGTTTTCCTACAAAACATTTTATCACGTTCACGTAGTCAGATGTAGGAACTGTATTTTTGGTTTTTGGTGATAGGGTTTCTTTGTGTAAACCCTAGCTGTCCTGGAATATGCTTTGTAGACCAGGCTGGATTCAAATCAAACTCATAGAGATTGCCTGCCTATACCTTCCAAGTGTTGGAATTAAAGGCCTGTTTCTCCATGCCCTGCCTTTGGAACTGCATTTGTATGGTTTTATGATTAGGGTTTAATTAGAAAATGATTTTGGAGCTGGGCGGTGGTGGCGCATGCCTTTAATCCCAGCACTCGGGAGGCAGAGGATCTCTGAGTTTGAGGCCAGGCTGGACTGACAGCCTCCAAAACAATACAGAGAAACCTTGTCTCGTAAGACAAAACAAAACAAAACAAAAAAAAGAAAATGATTTTGATATAGTATATTTATTTACTGGGTTCTCTTGGCGTATTTTTAATCATTTTGTGGTTAATGCCTGCAACTGTATGTTAAATGAGTGTTTTGATTATTAACTTGAAATAATTGGGTATTACTTTGCTTACAAAAGGATCCCTTTCTAATATTGATATTCCCAAGAGGTATTCTCACTGTTTTTACAATAAACATTACCTTATGAATGGTCTGTATTTTAGGTGTTATTTATTTGAAAAATATGATAACACAGTATTGGCCTGATCGGGAAGCCACACCAGGGGACATCTCCCCATACACAATTCCAGAAGAAGACCGACATTGCATTCGAGAAAATATTGTAGAAGCCATTATCCACTCACCAGAGCTCATCAGGTATGTTTATTAAAATTCACCCATTGTTACAATTTAAATTTTCTTTTTCAAAACTTATTTTTTTCTTTTTTGAGATGGGTCTAACTTTGTACACCAGGCTAGTCTGGAACTCACAGAGAGTCACCTACTTCTGCCTGCTGAGTGCTAGAATTAAAAACACTCAACTGCCATTTTTATAACAAAATTACTGCACATGATGTCATAGAATGCAATTGAATTTTATGTTTATAAAGCCACATCTTTTATCGAAAACCTGTGGAACAGTGCAATTAGACAAAAGAGCCTAGCATATAGTATATGGGGGCAGTCAGCATTTCGGAGGCTGGGGTGGGATGATGGTTAGTTTCCACCAACAGTAAGTCCTATCTCTTTTGAGACAGGTAGGTTCTGAGTAGTAGAATACTTGTCTAACAAGCATATTGTCACAACTTTTATTCCTGCACTGAGAAAGAAAAAGAAATAGCTGGTGGTGACACACACCTTTAATCCCAACACTTGGGAGGCAGAGGCAGGCAGATCTCTGTGAGTTTGAGGCCAGCCTGGTCTACAGAAGAGTTAGTTCCAGGACAACCTCCAAAACTATACAGAGAAACCCCGTCTCAAAAAACAAAAACAAAAGAACAAACAAAAAAGATAGAGGGAAAGAAAAATTGCAGAATGCTGTCTCAAAGTCTGTAGATTGATTTTGGAAGTTTCCCACCTTCTCTTCAGAGTAGGCTTGAATAAGGCCTGCTCATGAGAGTCAAGTGCCCTTATCACTACTTTCTCTGGCCTGGAACATTGTATATCAGACTGGCCTTGATTGAGCTCAAAGAGATCCACCTGCCTCTCAAGTGGATTTACAGTGTTCTTGGCTTGCAAGCACTCTTTTTTTATAGGAGTGCAAATTGATTTGGCTGTCTAATTGTTTTCTGCCTACTTTTTGAGATTTTTGAGATAGGGTTTCTCACTGAACTCAGAGCTTGTTGATTTGTCTAGACTGGCACGCCAGCAAGATGCAGGAATCCTCCTTTCTTTCTGTCTTCCTAGCATAAGATTATACAGTTGTGTAGTGCTGCACCTGGCTTTATAGGTTTTTGCAGGATCAAGTCATTGACTCTGAACTTTTGGGTTGTTTGAAGAGTCTTATTAACCTAGTAGTCCAGGCTAGTCTTGAACTCTAAACTTTTCCTGAGAAATGAGGATGAGCCAGTATGTTTAACTTTGCAAATGTTTGTATACTTGATATTTTCTGCAATGAAAAGGCTTTTTGAAACTAGGTCTTATGTACCTCAAACTGACCTCAAGTACATGATCCTCCTGCGTCTATTTCCTACTTGCTGGGATCATATATGTGTGCAGTCAGCCTTGCTTGGATGGCTACTGGGTTACTTTTTTTTTTCCCCCCTTTGGTTTTTCAAGACAGGGTTTCTCTGTATTGCTGGGTTAAAGGCGTGCACCACCAATGCCCGGCGAGACAGGGTTTCTCTGTATAGCTTTGATGCCTGTCCTGGAAGTCTTCTGAAGACCAGGCTGTCCTAAAACTCACAGATTTAGTTATTTGTTTTATTTTTCAAAAAAATGTTTCTTTGTGTATTTTGGTTGCCCTGGAACTAGCTCTGTAGTACACACTTCTTTGAATTCACAGAGATCTGCTTCCCTCTCTCTTCCTCCTGAGTATTGTGATTAGAGGATTGCACTACCACTGCCCGGCTGGGGTATCATTTACGTTGTTGCTGAATGATCTATATTGAATTATCTGCAGTTATGTGCATCTGAATACCTGATGGATTTGAAATGAGGCTTTGTTGAAACAGCCTGTTTTTTTGAGTTACCAAAGTGCTAATTAGGTTTTTTTACTGCTGCGTTTTGACTTTCAGGGTACAGCTTACTACATGCATTCATCATATTATCAAACATGACTACCCAAGCCGCTGGACTGCCATTGTGGACAAGATTGGATTTTATCTTCAGTCTGATAACAGTGCTTGTTGGCTGGGAATTCTTCTTTGTCTTTATCAGCTTGTGAAAAATTATGAGTAAGTGTTTCTCCTAATTCCAGTTGTGTTTTTGAGGAATGGGAGTAATTGTGTAAGTTTAAACCAATTTGAAATTTCTTTCACTATAAGAAAATTAGTGAATTATATCTTTAGTATTTTCCTATTGAAGTAATCATCTTAATTCTGAATTTTTCTGTGTGCGCTTATGTGTGTTTAAGTGGCCCAGTTCTCAACTAGAGGCCACAAGACAAGCTGGGGCTTCAATCTCTACCATGCAGGTGCCAAAAGCTTAGATGACTGGCTTAATGCAAGGACAGCACCCTGCTGAGCTCTCCTGCAGGCTTGGGTACTTACTCTAATGATAACTTTTCTGTGACTGCCACTGAAAGTCTGTCCCACTCACTGTCCTCAATGTTTGTTAAAATCATTGACTCTTACTCAGAAATTGTCTCTAAAATTCGTGTTCCTCGGGAGGTACTGATAGGAGATTTGTGAGTGTGTGTTTGTCTGAAGGTGATTGGGGTGCATTGAGCAGTGGAGTACTTTATTCTGTGAGTCCCTGATCCTTGTGCATTTGCCTTGCCAAGAGCTGGTATTATTTGTGCTACAATGCTCAGCTCTTTGATCTTTTAAGTCAGTATAGTCTGAGAAATTCTCATTGACCTACTTAATTTCCTGAATATTTGGATGAATCATAGCTCATATAAATCTCATAAGTTAGATTTTTAGACCAAAAAATTGTCTTAGCTCTGAGTTTGATTCCCAGCATCCACATGGTGGCTTACAACCATTTGTAACTCCAAAACCAGGAAATCTGAAGTCTTTCCCATGGCAGTTTACAGGTATGCAAATGGTGTACAGAACATACATCATGCTGGTAAAATGCTTATATACATAAATTTTTAAAAAGTTGCTGGAGAGATGGCTCAGCGGTTAAGAGCACTGACTGTTCTTCCAGAGGTCCTGAGTTCAATTCCTGACAACCACATGGTGGCTCACAACCACCTTTAGTGAGATCTGGTACCCTCTGCTTGCTGGCCTGCAGGCAGAACGCTGTATACACAATAAATAAAAAATATTTTTAAAATAGGTGCCTAAAAAAAAAGGTAATAAGTCAAACGATGAAGGATTTTCATTAAAGCTTGTGGTCAAAGCAGTGAAATTGGTAGGCACATCAAAGTGTGAGGTGGAAAAATTATAAGGAAGAATTTAGTATGGTAGTGGTGATCCTCCGCGCTAAATACATGCCACTGTGAGCCCTCTTGTTTTGGGACTTGTAGGCAGTCTCTGACACCCTTTTGGGATTCCATTTCAAAGAACTTTGCTGTTCTGAGCAGGTATGAAACACACCATTTACATCCTTGGTACTGGTGTTTTCTTGTATCCCCACCAGCTACCCATCTTCCTGCTAAGGAATGTTCCAGCTGTCGCTCCAACTTCTATCAGAGTGCCAGTTTTGTAGTTCTGGTAAGTGAGTGACTAAAGCCAGAGAAAGAGGGTTTGAGAGTGTCTCATAACCTTAGCAGGAAAGAATGTGAGGGATTTTTAAATGAGATATAGAGGAGGCTACTATAATATTGGAATTTCAGTTTATTTTCAAGCAGTATTTGCTTGTTTATAGGAGAAGATAAAAGGGAACATTGATGAGGAAATTATATTGGACCTTACTGAATAATAGCAGCAAATGAGAAAGGGGATAGAGAGCCAGAAGCATGAACTCGTAATAAGGGTATACAGTAGCCCCTTGGGAGATTTTTGGTGTACAGCTAACCTGTTATGAAATGTTAGGAGTTCAGGCAACTCCTGGTGAAATGTTAGGGTAATAGTTTTGATCTGGTAATTGGGACAGAACTGGCCTTGCATTTCCTACATACTAGAGGATGACTTTGAGTTTCTGATCCCCCTGCCTTCAACTTCTCAAATTCTGGGCATTGCCACAATTGGTTTGTATGCTGTGGAGCATCCAGAGTTGGATTTGTTAGAGAAGTACTTTATCAGCTACATTGTTTTTCTTGGTAAGAATTTTGGATATTAAAGAATCACTGACTTTTTATTTAAAAACAAAATATTCAGCCCGGTGTAGTGGTGATCTCTTGAGTTCAAGGACATCGAACACTGTACAGAAAAACCCTGTCTCAAGAAAAAAAATTTAAGAGAAAAGAATTGTACTCAGTTGATTCCTGACTGTGGTTCATTGGTTTGGTATGTGAATGGAGACTTATAGTATTATAGATCTACCTGCCTCTGCCTTATGTCATACTTTCAGACGTTTTTGGGTCTCACAGTGTAATGATGTATTTCATACCATAAATTACTTGAGTTGCCACTAGCTAGGTTAACTACTGCTAACCAATTCCCAGTCTAATATCCCGTGTGATTAGTAAGTTTTCAGTTATTGTGGATGACCAACTGAGTTGGAAAGATGAAAGAGTTTTTACCTTTATTATTAGGAAATTTTGTCTGTAGTTATGTAGTATAACTAGAGAATGCACATGGTTTTCTTTCTGTATGCATATGAGTGTCACTGGTGTATTTGAGTATATGATATATTTAGTACCTCAGTATGAGGTATTTGGCCCACGCACATTGCCAGTGGGAGTAAATAGGCCAGAAGAAGTCTGGCATCTTACTCTATCACTATTTCACTATTGCCTTATTCCATGAAAAACTCAACCTGGAGCTTACCTCCAGGACTCCTCCTTCATGCCCCATAGCACTTTGGTTACATTTATATGGCCATGGCTGGCTTTTTCTTGTTTTTTTTTTTTTTTTTCTTTTTTTTCTTTGTGGATGCTTGGTTTCAAATTTAGATACTCTTGTGCAGCATCGTCTCTTACCATATGCTGAGCCATGTTGCCAGCCCTCATCATAGGAATTTCTTTCATATATTACTGTTTTATTGAATAAGAAGTATTATAATCTTTTAAAATATTTAAGTGTGTATGGTATATATGTGTATGTTAGAGAAGAGCACGTGGGAATTACAGGACACCTGAAGATATCAGAGGACAACTTTCAGTAGTCTGTTCTTTTCTCTGTTTAGCCCTGGCTTTCCTGGATAACACAGATCCACCTGCCTCTGCCTCATGAGCACTGGGTTAAAGGTGTGTGCCACCATGGCCTGCTTTTGTTTTTTTTTTAAGCACGTGAAAACCATTATGCATGTGTAGGTCATAGGACATCTTGTAGAAGTTAGTTTTCTTTCCACCATGTGGGTTCATTACAACACCCTTAATAAAGACAGGAGCTTGCTAATTCAACTAGACTGGCTGGCTGGCAAAGATGCAGTGCTCTTCCTATCTACACTTCCCCAGTAAGTAGATTGTGTGCATATTCTACACTTAGAAATTTTTTTTTTGGTTTTTTTTTTTTTTTTCGAGACAGGGTTTCTCTGTGGCTTTGGAGGCTGTCCTGGAACTCGCTTGATAGTCCAGGCTGGTCTCGAACTCACAGAGATCCGCCTGCCTCTGCCTCCCGAGTGCTGGGATTAAAGGCGTGCGCCACCAACGCCCGGCTACTTAGAAATTCTTTATTTTATTTTATTTTATTTTATTTTATTTTATTTTATGGGTGTGTGTACACCATATGTGTGAGAGCCCACAGAGGTTAGAAGAAGGCATCAAATCCCTTGGAACTGGAGTTACAGACAGTTAAGTCACCGTGTGGGTATTAAGAATTATACCCTGGTCCTCTGTAAAAGCAGTAAGTGCTCTTAACTGCTGAGCCATCTATCTCTATAGATTTACGCCTGGACTTTTTAATATGAAGAAGTCAGGTCCTTTTGCTTGCGTTGCAAACATTTTTATGGCTTGAGCCAACTCTTCAGTGTGTGTGTGTATGACAGTTTGGTTATCATTAAACTCTGTGAGATAATTGAAATTAGGTTTTTGGCTTCAGACAAGGTTTCCTCTGCATGTGGCCCAGATTAGCTGTACCGTCTGTCTGCCTTGCCTCTTTATGCTGGCATTACAGAAGTGTACCACTGTGCCTTTTTGGAAATCCTTTGTCCTTTTTTTTTTTCTTTGCAAAATCCATAAAACAAAACCAGGGTCTAATTTTGTAGCCACCACTGTCCTAGAACTCTGATATCTGCTTACCACTGCTGGGATTAAAAGTTCTGAAACGACACATTGAGCTCAGGAATCCAACTTTTTAAAAAAAACTTGCCCTATCTCCTTCCCTTAAATGTGGAATGCTTCACAAATCTACAGTCCTGAAACATGAGCCCTACCATGTTTCAGTTTCAGGATGCATGCTCTGGAAGTGAGCACTTGCCTTAATCTTTTAAAATACCTCTCTGATGCTGGCTTTTGTTTTCCTCAGCAGGCTTTTGTCCTTATTGTCCTCAGTTTGGTAAGAAACTGTTGTTAACATTTGTGAAAAGGACAGATTTTGTATCAGTTATGGAAGTACATTCTTACAGAATTAGTTTCTATTCCTACCCTTAGGTATAAGAAACCAGAAGAGCGAAGTCCATTAGTGGCAGCAATGCAGCACTTCCTGCCTGTTCTGAAAGACCGCTTTATCCAGCTGCTCTCTGATCAGTCTGACCAGTCTGTCCTCATCCAAAAGCAGATATTCAAGATCTTTTATGCCCTTGTTCAGGTACTGTCTTTTTTTTTTTTTAATGTTTATTACATTTATTTGTATATGGGAGGGAGGGGCTTAATGTGTGCCCCGACACTGGTAGAAGTCAGAGGACAACTTGGGAGTTGACTCTCCTTCCACCATTCTGGCCATGGGTTTGATCTTAGGTTGTTAGGCTTGACAGCAGGCACCTTTACCTACTGAGGCATCTCACCAGAATGGGGATACTTTTTTTTTTAATAGTGTGGATTTTGTTCTTTATTTTAAATTAAAAAGATTTTTTATAATTATATAGAGACATGCATACAATGTATCTTGATTGTAACTACTCCCACTACCCCTGATTTCCCCTCAACAAAATTCTCTCCTACCTTCATGTCCTTTTCTTTAAAAAATGATACACATCTACAGAGTGAGTTCCAGGGCAGCCTCCAAAACAATACAGAGAAACCCTGTCTCGAAAAACCAAAAATAAATAAATAAATAAAAATAAAAAAATGATACACAGGCTGGGTGGGGGTAGGGGTGGGCGTGGTAGCGATGGTGGTGGCGGGGGCGGCACACTCCTTTAATCCCAACACTCAGAGTTTGAGACCATCCTGATCTACAACAGCCACAAGGAAACCCTGTCTCAAAACAAAAAACAAATCAAACAAAAAGATACACAGAAGCTGGGTGGTGATGGCGCATGCCTTTACGGGAGGCAGAGGCAGGCAGATCTCCGTGAGTTCGAGGCTGGGCTGGACTGACAGCCTCCAAAACAATACAGAGAAACCCTGTCTCATAAAACAAAACAAACAAACAAAGATACACAGAGTCTAATTAGTGCTGCTAATATACAATGCCAATGAGTGGTGTGTGGGCTTTTTCCAGGTCTCTTTAAGAAAGGGTCTTTGCTCTACCTTAATTGTGTATATTCTGAAACAGGTTCTCCTGTAGCCCAGGCTGATCTTAAATGCTTTAGTCCTCCTGCCTCTGATTCCCGAATGCTGAAATTATAGGCATATACCATTGTGTCTACCTGTAAGGAGCTTGCATACATACATATGTAAATACTGATTGTCATTTACCACAGTAAAGAAAAGTTAATATCATTCATTAACATGAATAACATCATTCATGTTAATAATTATATTTGCCAGTCTAATCTGGATAGATTGGTGTATGCCTCTAATCCTGTTCCTGTGGGCTGAGACAGGAAAAGCATGAGTTTGAGACCGTCCTAGGCTATATGGTATATAATACTCTTATTTGGATAGCACATTAGAACACCTTGTCTTAGATAAAAAGAACTTGAGTGTACCTTGATACCACCATTCAGGTAGTAGTTAGGAGAAGCACATTTGATGCCAGCCTATGTTATGTAGTGAGGAGCTGTCTCTTAGGGAAAGGTAAGTATTGCAGTTGCCAACGAGAAAACAAGCATGTTTCCCACAGACTAGCAATTCTCATAGATCTGACATTGTAAATAAGTAGTTAGAATTCTCATAGCTATCCAATAGAGGGTGGTTTGTCATGGAGCCCAGCATAGTCTTGAACTTACAGTTTCAAGTGATCTGCTGCCCTCTTGAGTAAATGGAACTGTATGGATCACCACTCCATGCTAAAATTAGTGAACTTTTCTTAGAGTCTTTAAGTATTCATGATTCAGTTGGTGGTGAATTGTTGAGCTTGGGAATTTTGAGATCATCGTGGCCAACATACCATGCATAACTATGCCCAGTTTATATGCTGCTGCAGATTGAATTCAGGGTTTTGAATTCTTGGTAAAACTTCAGAAACTTAATTTTATAACTTTATTAACAACTTCAGGTAAAAAAAAATCATTTCCTGGATTTGAATGCCAGCTCAGCAGTATTGACTACTTTTTTTAGAGGACCCAGGTTCTACTACTCCCAGTACTTCATCTAGACCTGCAACTAACTGTTTATAACTCCAGTTTCAGGCCTCTAGGAACACCAGGCACATAGATGGTATATGGATATGGGCAGGCAACTAACCATATAGATAAGAATAAAATTTAATCCGGTCTTTGATGGTGCACGCCTTTAGTCCCAGCACTTGGGAGGCAGAGGCAAGCGGATCTAGTTCGAGACCAAGCCTGGTCTACCGAATGAGTTCCAGGACAACCTCCAAAACAATACAGAGAAACTTCTTGAAAAAAACCCAAAACAACAAAAACAAGTACTTATCGCCGCAACAGGCTCCCTCCCTCCCTCCCTCCCTCCCTCCCTCCCTCCCTCCCTCCCTCCCTCCCTCCCTCCCTCCCTCCCTCTCTCTCTCTCTCTCTCTCTCTCTCTCTCTCTCTCTCTCTCTCTCTCTCTCTCCCCCTCTCCCCTCTCCCCTCTCCCCTCTCCCCTCTCCCCTCTCCTCTCTCTCCTCTCTCTCCTCTCTCTCTCGACAGGAAGTAGCTCTATAGACAAGAGATCAGCCTGCCTCTCCCTTAGGCATTCTGGGACTAAAGGGTGTGTACCACCAGCAGCTTCAGATTTTTTAAGGCCAGCACATTTGGGCTACAGAAAACTCAGAAGATTAGAGAGAATACTTGGCTGCTTTTCCAGAAGATAGTTTCAGTGACATGGTGTTGGTCTGCCCACAACCCTGTGACTCCAATTCTGATGTCCTCTGACTTCTGAGGGTATTTGCACTCACAGTGCATGCATACAGACACATACACACAGACTGTCTTGTCCTGATAACAAAGTATAGTACATCTAACTTAACGTAAGTGGGTGTTGTATCCTGAATTGGATGATCCGGCATGGTAGTGCATGCCTGTAATCCCAGCACTGTGAGTGGCAGAGGCATTTGTCAGAGTTTGAGGCTTTCTTGGTATACAGGTCACCAGCAGTATATCATGAGATCCTGTCTCATAATTAACAGAAATACTAAATTACATGATTTATATTTCCAGATGCCCAGTAAAGCATCCAATAAAATTTATTAAGCAATTCCTCCTTTATGAAAAGAGAACAAGACTGGGGAAATAGAGTATTTGCCCAGTGTACACAAGTCCCTAGGTTTGATCCACTGCAAGAATGAACGAATACAAACATAAAATAGAGAAAAGGGGAAATAAATGTTAGCACCATAGATGAGGAATTCCCTTGTGACTTTAAAAATACTAAGTTTTTTTGTTTTTCTTTAGTATACGCTACCCCTGGAGCTGATAAACCAGCAGAACCTGACAGAATGGGTGGAAATTTTGAAGACTGTTGTGAATAGGGATGTACCTAATGTAAGTTCTTTGTAAAGATTAATGTCTTAGGTCCAGCTTATTCTTTTAATAAATATGTTATTAATCATCAATTTTGAATGCTTAGGTTCTTTGTTTTTTATAATTGAGTGTATTCTTGTCTTTCTATTTAAAGGAAACACTTCAAGTTGAAGAAGATGATAGACCAGAGTTACCCTGGTGGAAATGTAAGAAGTGGGCCTTACATATTTTAGCAAGACTTTTTGAAAGGTATGCTCTGGTCCATGTGTAGTAATTTAAATTTTTTTTAAGACTTTGCTATTATGAATATAGTGGTAAGCATTATAAAGAAATAACGGGCACGTTTATGTTCATGTAGATATGGAAGCCCTGGGAATGTTTCTAAGGAGTATAATGAATTTGCTGAAGTCTTTCTGAAGGCATTTGCTGTTGGTGTCCAGCAGGTAAGTCTTAAAATTCATTTAAGTAGAGACTTGACTCATTTTTTGTTTATGGGATGTTTGGCATGCTCTGTGCCCCACTTATGTACCTGGTTCTTTTTTTTTTGGTTTTTCGAGACAGGGTTTCTCTGTGGCTTTGGAGGCTGTCCCGGAACTTGCTCTGTAGACCAGGCTGGCCTCGAAGTCACAGAGATCTGCCTGCCTCTGCCTCCCTAGTGCTGGGATTAAAGGCGTGCGCCACCAACGCCTAGCGCATACCTGGTTCTTAACCTGTGGTTTTGACCTTTATAACGACCTTTCACAGGATTTGAGTATCATATATTTGCATTATGATCCATAACAGTAGCAAAATTAAAATTTCACATTGCAGTGGAAATGGTTTTGTGGCTGGGTGTCGCCACAGCATGAGGAACTGTAGTGTCAAAGCTTTAGGTAAGTTGATAACCACTTCCTTAGATACCCTGGAAACAGTGATGCAGTTGGTGGTGTGCCAACATGTGAGTGCTTGGTCGGCTGGTGCTCTTCACTGTTATATTCCATTCCCATATTTGTTTGCTAGTGGTTGGTGTGGTGTTTTGTTTGCTTGATTTTGTTTTTATTGTTCTTTTTCAAGACAGGCTTTCTCTGTGTAGCCCTAACTGTCCTGAACTCCTTTTGTAGACCAGACTGGCCTCCTGAGTGCTGGGAGTAAAAGTGTGTACCACCACACCCAGGTTCCTTATACTTTTTTTAAAAGACAGTCTCACTATGTAGCCCAGGCTGGTTTCTGTACTGGGACTGAGCCTGACTTCAGTCCTACTTTTCAAAATGCTTATAAAATGATAATCTTGCCCTCTGGCTGTAGTGCTGGAATTTACAGGTTTTTGTTCCTTGTTTGACTTAACTAGGAGCAAGGCCTTTGACACAGTCATATCTTTGTTTATTTTGCATGTACATGTGTTTATGAGTGTGCTTTTCTAGAAAACTTGCCAGATCCCTGTGTGTGAGTTCCAGGGTTAGGTCGTCAAGTTTGGTCACAAGTGTCTTTGCCCCCGAGCCATCTCACTGTGCCATTTCTTATTTTAAATGCCTTGAAAATAAATAGTTCTCCACACAAGTTTTAAAAGGACTATGTTTTTTTATTTTGTGGCAATGTCTAGGAATGTGTTCATACTAGATTATAGTGGTTAAATTTTATCTGAATATTTTTTTGATTGAATCTTTTCTTTTTTCAAAGGTTTTATTGAAAGTGTTATATCAGTACAAGGAGAAACAATATATGGCTCCTCGAGTTTTACAGCAGACATTAAATTATATTAATCAAGGAGTTTCCCATGCTCTCACCTGGAAGAACCTGAAGCCTCATATACAAGTAATAATTTTTTCTGTAATGAATTTTTTGTTTTGTTGATTGGTGGCTTGTTTTTTAGCGTTGTAATAGCAATATATTAATTACTGTAAAGGTTGAATAATTGAGTTTTGTAGTCTAGTGCAGTGAGTGTTTAGATAGTGCAGCAGAAAAAGAACACTTTGAGTGTAACGAGATATTTTATCACTGTCTAGCTATATTTTTGTATAGAATTTAAGCTAATATTTAATCTCTGACCATTGGAATATAGTTATACTTTAGTCGTGTGATTTGGACTGAGCTAAGAACTTTTTATCATATTGTTATTTTCATAATTTATTATCTTAGAGTTCTAGAATTTGCTTGTCTTTGCTCTTTTTGGGTGCTGGAGGTTAAACCTAGGCCCTCCAATGTAATGAGAAGCTTTTTCCTTGAGAGAAGCCTTCCTGCCAGCCTGGTTCTAGTGCCGCATCAGTCCCAAATAAACACACAGGAGGCTATATTAATTATGAAGCTGTTGGCCTTGCATGTTTCTTACTGGCTAGCTCTGACTTAAGTATTACCCCATAATTGTTAATCTAAGTATGTCTCTTACCGGAGAAGTTTCCGGGCTTCCTACCCCATGGCGTAACATTTTGACTCCCTGTGTTTCTCCTTCCCAGAGTTCTCCTAGACTCCTAGTCCCACCTATCTTGATTCCCTATTGGCCAGACAGTGCTTTATTGACAAATGCACAGGACTTCCCCAAACACTCCAATACATATCAAGCTTTGCACAGCTGTGCTATGTATATAACTGCTATATATGAGAACGTTTGTCTTATTGTGTAATTGTTACAAGTTGATATATGGCTTGTATGTTGGGCTGAAAATTAGTAAGTTACTGGAGTTTGTTATCAAATTTTATATGTTTAATTATGTTGTTTTGCTACTTAAAGGAGATTGGACAGGTTAAATTTGAAAGCTGAAGACTGTTACTTTCTTAACTTTTAAATTGCAGGGCATTATCCAAGATGTTATTTTTCCATTGATGTGCTATACAGATGCTGATGAGGAACTCTGGCAAGAAGACCCTTATGAATATATACGCATGAAGTTTGGTAAGAACGTTTGCCTTGCTGTCTGGGTATGGTGGTACAGAAGTATAATACCAAGACTAGGAAGGAAATGGAAGGTTATGGTCATCTGCATGACAAGTCCGAGGCCAGCTTGAACTTTGTAAGACAATAACTCAAAAACAAAACAGGGTAAACAAGAATGGCTCAAGCCTGATGACCTGAGGACTCAAATGAGAGGTTGACCTTATGTCTACCATACACCTGCTGCTCACTTGTACATAAGTGAATATAATAAACATTTTTTTTTGGTGGGGGGGCTGATTTCAAGAAAGAGTTTCTCTGGCTTTGGAGGCTGTCCTGGAACTAGCTCTTATGGAACAGGCTGGTCTTGAACTCACAGAGATCGGCCTGCCTCTGTCTCCTCAGTGCTGGGATTAAAAGTGTGCGCCACGACAGCCGGCAATGAACATGTTTTTCAAATAAAAATTTTCATATTTAAAGAACAAAATATTTTAGTTAGATTACAGAGGTTATGTTCAGCCAGCCTAAGCTTCATAAAGTATATAATTTCTGTTTGTATGTCCTTCTCAGCCTATTCATTCATTACAGCACCTTATAAATGGTTTGGTTTTATGAGGCAGGGTTTCTCTGTAATGCTCACCATTCTGGAACTGTAGACCAATCTGGCTTCCAACTCAGATTCACCTGGTTCTGCCTCCAGCCTGCTGAGATTTTAAAGGTGTGTGCCATCACTGTTGCTAACCTTAAACTCAAAATTCTCCTGCTTCAGTGCTGGAATTACAGGTTTGCACCACCGCATCTGACTCAAAGACTCCTATAGAACATAGTATTTAGATTTGGGAATAGGAAATACTTTTCCCAAAAAAATTAGTAAACCAGGTACCATTTTCAATGTCTGTAGTCCTCAAACTTGGGTGTTTGCGGCAGGAGGAAAAGGAGACTAGGCCAACCTGGGATAATTCTGACATTGTTAAAAGACCAAGCAAAAACTATATGTTCTCTAAATTTTCATTTTACATTTGTCCTCTAGATGTGTTTGAAGATTTTATTTCTCCTACTACTGCTGCCCAGACCCTTTTGTTTACAGCCTGCAGTAAAAGGAAAGAGGTGAGTAATCATGTTGATAACATTTGCATTATTATTTTAAATTTCTTCAAATATAGTTTTTTAAATGTTATTCATGTGTTATGATTATCAGTATGTTCAGGAACGGTGGGTTAAAAAAAGTGTTGATTGTCCTTTATTCAGGTACTGCAAAAGACTATGGGATTCTGTTACCAGATTCTTACTGAACCAAATGCTGATCCCCGTAAAAAGGATGGAGCTTTACATATGATTGGCTCTTTAGCTGAAATACTTCTGAAGGTATTCCTCTGTGTGTGTGTGTGTTTGAGAGAGAGAGAGTTAACATATATCTATGCACAGAGAGAGAGTTTACTTAACAGATATATTTTAATATATATTGCCTGCCATGTATGCAGTACCTACCTCCAGAAGCTAGAAGACATTGTTGGAAAACTTGAAACTGGAGTAATATTGTTGACTGAATGCATTTTGCCAACTAAGCTCTCCTGCCTCCTGAGTTTCTAATCAAACACATTTCTGTTGAAACTTGGCGTTGATTGCTTTCTAATTGGGGACTTCTTTGTTTTTTTGTTTTTTGTTTGTTTTTTTCCAGGGGAGGGGGGTGATACAGGGTTTCCCTGTATAGCTTTGGAGTCTGTCCTGGAACTCACTGTGTTGACCAGGCTGGCCTCGAACTCACGGAGATCTGCCTTTGCCTGCTATGGGATTGCGAGGATTAAAGGCGTACTCCACCAAATGCCGGGCATAACTAGGGAATTTTAAAATGTATAATTGCTGAGACCGCTTGGGCATGGAAAAAGGGATTCATCATGTGAAAATAGTGAGATCATGAGTTCCATGACAGACTTCGATATATACCAAGGGTTAGTGTCAAAAAATATTCGTAATATAGAAACAAATGAGTTGTGAATAAATGTGTCTTTATTAGTGTCTTTTAACATTTGCAACTTGAGACAGTTGTGTTTAGATAACTCACTAGACTCCTTTATATTCACAGAAAAAGATCTACAAAGATCAGATGGAGTACATGTTGCAGAATCATGTATTTCCTCTCTTCAGCAGTGAGCTTGGCTACATGAGAGCAAGAGTAAGTTTTAAAGTTGTATTTTTCGATGTATTTATTTATATGTCTTATAAGGTATGACTCAGAATTACTTTGACTTGGACATGTGTTATCTCAGCTAAGTCTTACTTTTTTGTGAATGTTTATCTGGCTGCTGCAATACTGTGTGCATAGTTGTCATCTATGTTTGGTAGCAATATCTGTCTGTGTTTTGCATTCAGGTCTTGCTATCCACACAAAGAGTATGCAGCCAAAGAGTAACATGGGATCATAGTACTGGTCTTGTGTTGTGTGTTTGAACACATCTTTTCCACTGGCCAGCCTCCAATTCCCCAGACATAAAACTTTGGGTATAGTTTTACTTCGGGAAATCTATTATAAGCTGTTTATAGTCAAACACACACACCTGACCCTTCCCCCTATATTTACAGGCTTGCTGGGTACTTCACTATTTTTGTGAAGTGAAGTTCAAGAGTGATCAGAACCTCCAAACAGCGTTAGAACTGACGAGAAGATGTCTGATTGATGATCGAGAAATGCCAGTGAAAGTGGAAGCTGCCATTGCACTGCAAGTGTTGATCAGCAATCAAGAAAAAGGCAAGTGGTTTGTATGTCACAAATACCCTCATAACTGTGAGGCAAAATTCTATGAACTAGCTTAATGTATATTGTGAATGCAATTGGTATTTGCTTTTTTTTGTATCCAGCTTATTATTTACCTACTAAGTCTCTGCCCCCTCCTCTTCCTCTATTACAGCTAAAGAATACATCACTCCATTTATCAGACCTGTAATGCAGGCTCTTCTTCATATTATAAGAGAAACAGAAAATGATGATCTTACAAATGTAATTCAGAAAATGATCTGCGAGTATAGTGAAGAGGTTACTCCCATTGCTGTAGAAATGACACAGCATCTGGTATGTTAATTTAGCTCTCTGTATTATCCATGTAGTTTGTCAGAAGTGTCTTGTTCTCCCTAAAACCAATGTTAAATGGAACGTACTGTGTTAAAAAGTAGTATAAAACCCTTCATAAATATTTAACTCCTTTATTTCTCACATGGTCCTAGTTGAAATGACTACTATTTTATAGAGAAAGATTGTGAAGTAGAAAAAAACTGGAAAACTTGCTAGAGCTAAATGTAGTATGTCAGGGACTCATCCTTGTGTTGTACAGCACACGCTCTTAGGCATGTCAGGGTCAACATCTGTGAAGTTTCCTGAATAGAACAGTTGATAAAGTTACAAATGGCATATCAGGCTAAGAGCAATTTTTGTTCTCCCAGAGAGAACATGGGTTCAACTCCCATCACCTCCTTATTGGCTCAGAACTGTGTGTAACCCCCAGTTCCACAGCATCTGATGCCCTTTTCTGGTTTGTGAACATCAGAGACTTGTACCTAGCACGCAAGTATCCCACAAACATACTTTAAAGCAAAACACTCATAGAAAGAGAGATCAGCAATTGGTGATTTAATATGCCTGTATTTGGGAGTAGTCCAGGAAAGGATCTCAGTATGTTGCTGGTGCTATCACTTAACTGTAGACACTGTGTCTGTTCCAACTGGCCCTAAATAAGCACATCCAGACATGTTAATTATAAACTGTTTGGCCAATGACTTAGGCTTCTTACTGACTAGCTTTCTCTTAATTATTAACCCATTTCTAATTGAACCATGTATTGCCACAAGCCTATGGCTTACTCATAATCTGGCACTTTAGTCTTTCTGTAACATGACGTCTCTGGTGGCTTCTCTCTACCTTCCTATCCCCAGCCTTCTCTTCATCTGGTAACTCTGCCTATACTTTCTGTCTGGTTACTGACCAACCAGTGTTTTAGTCATCAACCAATAAGAGAAACATACAGAAGGACTTCCCCCATCACTGAACTCGAGTCATTCAGTCCTTTTGGCACGATTAATGTTCATGATAAACACATTCTGTACCTTGCCTCATTACTCTCACAGTGTCAGTATTCAATCCCCTAGGTATTGTTAGAAAACTTGTAATTTCAGTAGTATGGAAGCTGTGGCAGGAAATTTGAGGCCTGCCTGAGATACACAGACTGCCTGCTATTCTCTCTGTGTCTTCACTCTTTGCCCAGTGTTAATTCATTTCATTATGTTGATTCTAGGCAATGACATTTAACCAAGTAATTCAGACTGGGCCAGATGAGGAAGGAAGTGATGACAAAGCAGTCACTGCTATGGGAATTCTAAATACAATTGACACACTTCTGAGTGTGGTTGAAGATCACAAAGAGGTAAAAAATAGTCTCATGCTGCGCAATTTTTATGGAGTGTTATAAAGCCATTTTATCTGCTTCTATTTGATCACTTTATTCTGGTTTCAAGATACAGCTCCTATTTGCTCTACTTACTCACCCACACACCCATGCATCCATTCATTTTTTTATCATTTATTTATCCTGAGTGCTGGGATTAAAGCCATGGGCCACCAATGCCAGGCTCTCCCCCCTCCCCACCCCTGGTTTTACGAGACAGGGTTTCTCTGTATTGTTTTGGAGGCTGTCGGTCCAACCTAGCCTGGAACTCACAGAGATCCGCCTGCCTCTGCCTCCCGAGTGCTGGGATTAAAGGTGTGCATCATATTTTAATTTTCTAAAAATGAAATAGGGCATGCTAATATACCCATTTAATCCTGGCAAAAGTAGGTGGATCGCTGAGTTTGAAGTTTGTCTAGACTACAAGTTTGTCTAGACTATGTAGTGAGTTGTAGCAAAGGAAAGGCTACCCAATCTTGGAAGTTACCAAATCTAGTTTTTTTGTCATTGGTAGGAACACTGCCCCCTTCTAGTCAATTTCATTATAAATCAGCTAGTGACTTATTAGTTTTGTCTGGACTGAGTTTATGTCATTGCTGTGATATTATTTTTCTCTGTTTTTGCGAATGAGCAAGTAGTTCCTTATTTTTTTCATTGTAATGATTTTCCACTAAATGTTGATGTGTAATTTGTTCATAATTTTGTGTGTTGTTTCACAACTGTCTGTTGATTCAAACTGCCTTTTTTTTTTATTTTTTTACAAGACAGGGGTTCCCGTGGCTTCGGAGGCTCTCCTGGAACTTGCTATAGAGACCAGGCTGGCCTCGAACTCGCGGAGATCCGCCTGCCTCTGCCTCCCTGGGATTAAAGGTGTGCTTTTAATAAAAATGTGACAATTATTAGCAATTTTTTGTTCTCTCTTAGATAACCCAGCAGCTTGAGGGAATCTGCTTACAAGTCATTGGGACCGTTTTACAACAGCATGTCTTAGGTATTATACCTGCTTTTTATGTTTTTATATCATGTGGGATGAGTAAGTAGTTTGTTTTTGACAGCTTGATGTTCTCTTCTAGAATTCTATGAAGAGATCTTCTCTTTGGCACATAGTCTGACATGTCAACAAGTGTCTCCACAGATGTGGCAGTTATTGCCACTTGTATTTGAGGTATTTCAGCAAGATGGCTTTGATTACTTTACAGGTAAAGTCTATCAGCATGAAAATGGTTATTGTTCCTCTACAACCATAAGGATTACCACATAGCTTATTATTTAAACACAACATTTTCCTGCTTTAACTGCTGCATTCTTTATATTTAATGCCCTAGGAGGACATTTGTATTAGTTGACATTAGTTGCTGTTGTGTCATTATTGTTAGTTTGCTTTTAAAAACACATATCATAATTCTCTATAAGTAAATATGCATATATATTTTTTAATGCAAAGAATTTCTATGTAAAGTTATTGATAGTGTGAGATTTGCCGTTTGGTGTGTAAACTTCATTTAGAGGAAAAATGAAGTGTCATGTATACATATGTATATGTATAAGCCAGGTATGGTGGTACCTACCTGTAATTACCATCACATGGAGGCAGAGTTAGGAATCCAAAGTCATCCTTGGTTACCAGCTCTTTTTTCGTTATCTAGAACTATAGGAAACTTTGCCTTGTAGGCTGAGGGGAATGAACAATGGTAAAGGACGTACAAATTGACTTTATCTTATTTTTTTTAAACTATAGACATGATGCCTCTTCTGCATAACTATGTAACAGTTGATACAGACACACTCCTGTCTGATACCAAGTATCTTGAAATGATATACAGTATGTGTAAAAAGGTAGGCCCCTTTTACAATACCAGATATCAGAAGGTTGTTGCAGTAAAATGATAAAGATACACATGTTCCTGGATTGTGCGGAACACAGAACACGTTGATCAGACTATTAATGTCTTCTTTGGTATAACAGTTGTTTGAAGCAAGAAGATTGGGAGTTCAAGGTTATTATGTGGTTCATAGCAGGTTTGAGACTCTGACCAGAATATTGGAATGAAATTTTTTGGGTTTGGGGAAATAACAGTTCAGTGATAAAGCACTTGCCTTGCATGTAGAAGATTCTGGATACATAAAGTATTTTGAACTTGGGAGTTCTAAAAAGAATGCTTGGAGAGTGTAGGTTTTTGGCTGAGTATGTTGGCATACCCTTTTAATTCCAGCACTGTCGGTTAAGAAGGCACCCTGCCCTATACATCAAATTCCAGGCTAGCCAGAGTTGCATGGTGAGACCTTGTCTGCTGACAAGCAAAAAATAAGAAAAATAGCCAAAGCTACTCTACCATTTGCTTGTGTGTATGTGACCAATCTAAAACCATTCATCCTCCTGCCTCTGCCTATCTAGGACTTTGATTTACTAGCATGTGCTACCATGCTTTAGGTGATAGGTTTTTGTTGATGTTCTTTACAAAAGAGCCAGATATCTTTGAGAAAGGTTAATAATGTTCTAGCTTATACCTCTGAGAGAACTTAATGTTGTTAACATGCTAGAGTCCGGAATAAGAATTCAAACTAGGGTGCCAAACAAATACCACCTTATCCCTTTTATGATCAAAATAGCAATTGTTTATGTAAATACATAGAGGGAAATTATTTCTCTGCTTTAAACATTTCACAAAGCATTCTTGCTATTTGTATTGTGTAATCAGGTTCTTACTGGAGTTGCAGGAGAAGATGCAGAATGTCATGCAGCAAAATTGTTAGAGGTCATCATTCTACAGTGCAAAGGGCGTGGCATCGATCAGGTCAGTGAGGCTGATTTTCTGTTATTGGATTTAGAGTGTTGGTCTTTGATACATTTAAATTTTCTTTGGGATCATTATATTTCTTTTTTTTTTTTTTTTTTTTTTTTTTTTTTGGTTTTTCGAGACAGGGTTTCTCTGTGGCTTTGGAGGCTGTCCTGGAACTCGCTTGGTAAGTCCAGGCTGGTCTCGAACTCACAGAGATCCGCCTGCCTCTGCCTCCAGAGTGCTGGGATTAAAGGCGTGCGCCACCAACGCCCGGCCCTCATTATATTTCTGTATGTTATTGCAACATGGATAGCCAACAATGCTAAATGTTTGTTTTACGTTATATATAATAATCGTTGTTTAATGTGTATTTGTTGTCATAAATTAGCTTTGGATGCCGTGTGTGGTGGCACACTCCTTTAATCCCAGCACTCAGGAGCCAGAGGCAGGTGAATCTCTGAGTCCGAGATCAGCCTGGTCTACAAGAGCTAGTTCCAGGACAGGCTCCTAAACAATACAGAGAAATCCTGTCTCTAGAAACAATCATCCAATCAATCAGCTTTGGTTAAATAAGTGCATTACAAGTCACTTTAACTAGGAAGGCTGAACTAGGATTGATAATTAATGAGATTGTCACTGGTCTAATTTTAAAGGAAAGACTTGCTTTCATTTAAAATTAGATTTTCCATGAAATGCTTGAACAGTTAAATACTAGTCATCTTTGGAAGTCCCCTATAGGGACAAAAGGAAGCTTCAGTGTAAGTAATTAGTTTATATATAGTAAGCTAGGTTGGATGCTATTACAGTCTTTGAAGATCTTATAATCTCTCTTTACAGTGTATTCCATTATTCGTGGAAGCGGCTTTAGAGAGGCTGACGAGAGAGGTTAAGACAAGTGAACTTCGAACAATGTGCCTGCAAGTTGCAATTGCAGCATTATATTATAATCCACACCTACTACTTAATACATTAGAAAATCTTCGATTCCCTAATAACGTTGAACCTGTTACAAATCATTTTATCACTCAATGGCTTAATGACGTAGACTGTTTCCTGGGGTAAGTGGTAGTAAATTGTGACTTTATGAGAGACTCTGCTCATGTAATAAAACAGACTAAAGTTTTAATTATCACTTTTCTTTATGGTTTTAGGCTTCACGACAGGAAGATGTGTGTTCTCGGCTTGTGTGCCCTTATTGATATGGAACAAATACCACAGGTTTTAAATCAGGTTTCTGGACAGATTTTGCCAGCATTTATCCTTTTATTTAATGGATTAAAAAGAGCATATGCCTGCCATGCAGAACATGAGAATGACAGTGATGATGATGATGAAGCTGAAGATGAAGATGAAACTGGTAAGGGATTCATGGTGGTTAAAAGCAGAAGCATGTCTGCTCAAAACCATCATATAATTCTTTATCATAGATAGACTTGTAGCCAAATGCTTTTTCAGATTGGATGATCGGGAAGCCAGCCTTTCTGGCGAATACTCCTGATCCCAGATGCCTACTAGGCAATAAGAGTTCTTATGTTCTCACATTTAAGGACAGGCAGCTCTAAATAGAGTATATTTTTTTAAAAAGTTAAACTTGGAAAATTTCTGTCTTTGTGGCAGAAAAGCATTAAGTATTTAGCCAAAATATATATATATTTTTCCAGGCAGGGTTTCTCTGTGGCTTTGGAGGCTTTCCTGGACATAGCTCTTGTAGACTATAAAAGTTTTAAAAATGAAGCCAGGTATTGGTGGCACATGCCTTTAAACCCAGCATACTGGAAGCAGAGGTAGGCGGATCTCTGTGAGTTTGAGACCCGCCTGATCTACAGAGCAAGGCCAGGACAACCTCCAAAACAATATAGAGAAACTCTGTCACAAACAAAGAAGTTTTTAAAATGAAAAAAGTTAATATAATTAGATATTGACTCAAACATTTAACTGCATATTTTTGGTATAAATTGAATTTGGTACGTGTAATCTCAGCATACTGACCAGAAGTGGTGGCTATATCTGTAAGAATCACATTCTCACCAAAGAAACACCTCACAAGTTTTTCTGCTGTCTCCCTCTCTGAGTTTTTGAGACAGGTTCTCTATATAGTCCTGTTATGAAACTTGCTATGTAGACCAGACTTGGTTGCACTGTAAGGAATCCACTTATCTCTGCTCCTTAAGTACTGAGGTTAAAGACTAGTACCACCATGCCTGGCTCAGAACAGTTTTTATGATGTATCTTATACGTATGTTTGTCTGTGAGGTTGTTAAATTCCCTGGAGTTTCAGCAAGTGTGTGAGGTGCCCTTGTGAGTGTTGGAAATTGAAGTTGTGTTCTATGGAAGAGAAGCCAGTGCATTTAGCCACTGAAACCATCTCTCTAGCCCCTCACAACCAGTTTTTATAAGACAAAGCAAAGTTCAGGGTTCCTGAAGAGTAAAAGATGAAAGATTTTTTGGGAGGAGAAAGGGTGGGATTTATTTGCCTGAAGCTTTGCAGGGTGACTAGTGTTTTACTACTGTGGAATAAAAGAACCATAGAAATTTACTATTGGATCACTAGTCATTAGTCTCTGTTGACCTTTTTTTAATGTGTGTTTTGGGGTTTCAGACAAGGTTTTACTGTGTAACAGCCCTAGCCGTCTTGGTATTAGCTCTGTAGACCAGGCTAGCTTGCACCTCATATAGCTCCACCTGCCTCTGCCTCCTAAGCACTGACTGAAGCCGGGCAGTGGTGACACACGCCTTTAATCCCAGCACTAGGGAGGCAGAGGCAGGTGGATCTCTATGATCTGTGAGTTCAAGACCAACCTGGTCTACCGAACAAGTTCCAGGACAGCCTCCAAAACAATACAGAGAAACCCTGCCTGGAAAGTCCAAAACAAAACAAAGAGAAAAATTTATTGCTTTATTATCAGTTGAATCTTAGTTGGGTTTCATGGACACCTATGTTGAAGTAATTGTCAATTTGCTGAGTAACAGAACGTTTCTTGTTAACAAATAACTTGACAGAGGAACTGGGGAGTGATGAAGATGATATTGATGAAGATGGGCAGGAATATTTGGAGATTCTGGCTAAGCAAGCAGGTGAAGATGGAGATGATGAAGATTGGGAAGAAGATGATGCTGAGGAGACTGCTCTTGAAGGCTATTCTACAATCATTGATGATGAAGATAACCCTGTTGATGAGTATCAGATTTTTAAAGCTATATTTCAAAGTAAGTTAACTTCCTAAATGAACCATTTTATTGGCCGTGACATGTACTACCATATCCGGCTTCTTCCTTTATTCTATTACATTTCATTTTTAATTTGAAAGATGTACAATATCAGAAAATCGTGTCATTCAAAAAACAGTTTAAAAATCTTAGAGTTCACTTGTTTTTGCTCTTTGTTTTTTTGAGACAGGGTTTTTCTTTGTAGCCCTTGCCATCCTAGAACTTGCTCTATAGAACAGGCTAACCAAGAACTCATTGCCTCTGTCTCTCAGGTGCTATGATTAAAGGTGTACGTCACTACCACCTACCTCAGATCCCACTTTGTTTGTTTGTTTTACGAGACAAGGGTTTCTCTATTTTGGAGGCTGTCGGTCCAGCCTAGCCTCGAACTCCCAGAGATCCTCCTGTCTCTGCCTCCTGAGAGCTGGGATTAAAGGCGTGAGCCACCACCACCACCCGGCCCCACTTAATTTTATTCCCAGCATTTTCTGTTAATTTATTTGGGTTTTCTTATCATTCTCCTTAAAGACTTAGTTTTGTTTTCTTCAGTTATATATACATTTGGGAATGAATATTATGAATTCAGGTACCTTCAGAGTCCAGAAGTGGCCATTGGATCCCTTGGAACTGAAGTGTTTGTGATCTACCTGACATGAGTGCTGAGAACCATCGACATTGGAAGAGCAGTTCAAAGATGGCTCTTAACTGCTGAGCCATCTTTCCAGTTTCCAAACCTCTTTAAAAAGCAGGTCTAAATAAAACTGGCCTAGTGACTTATGCCTTTAATCCTAGCACTTGGGAGATAGAGAGGCAATTTCTTACTTCAAGGCTAGATTCAAAGCAAGTTACAGGACAGGAAGGGTTATTACACACACTAACAAACAAAAACAGGTCTTTCTCTAGTGCAGGGCAGGCTGGCCTTAAACTTATTGGTCTCCTGCTTCCACCTCCCACACGAAGGCAAAAGCATGGGTGGTTTTTGAACTAGCATTAAGAATAAATTGATGTTATTACTATTTACTTTCAGTGTTCATGCCTTTTTTTTTTTCACAGAGAGAAACATGTCAGTTACAGTGAAAATCATGTTAGTCCTTCCCCCCCTAAATGAATGAATGAATTCTAATACATGAAGTCAGTTTATAGGGTTTTGTGTATGTGTGTGTGTTTTTGATCCATTTATCAACAGGTGTATTTTTTTTTTGTTTTGTTAAACTTTAGTCTGTTTTATCACATAAGCATTGTCTCGTGTAGGTAAAAAGCCTTGCCTAGCTTGCTATCTTGCTGAGTGTGACCCTTAACTTCTGATTCACTTGCCTCTCCCTCATAAATTCTGGGATTACAGATGGTTTACACTGTAGCCTAGGTGATGGTACCCCAAGGCTTCATGCTAGACAACCAATACAGTCTTCTGCCTGCATGCCAGCAGAGGGCATCAGAACTCATTCAAGGTGGTTGTGAGCCACCATGTGGTTGCCGGGAATTGAACTCATGACCTTTGGAAGAAGAGTCAGTGCTCTGTTTTTCGAGACAGGGTTTCTCTGTATTTGGAGGCTGTCCTGGAACTCGCTCTGTAGACCAGGCTGACCTTGGACTCACAGTGCTGGGATTAAAGGTGTGTGCCACCACTGCCCGGCTTCAGTCAGTGCTTTTTAACCATTGAGCCATCTCTCCAGCCCCCGACAACCAATATTTTAAAAATAGATATGTGGGTGGGCTGGAGAGATGACTCAGGTTAAGAGCACTTACTGCTTTTCCAATGGTTCTGAGTTCAATTTCCAGTAATCATGTAGTGGCTCATAACCATCTATATTTCTATCTGGTAGTCTCTTCTGTCGTGTAGGCAGAACACTGTATATGTAATTATTTTTTTAAAAAAAGGTATGTGGGCATTCCTGGCCCATATGTCAATTTTAAGTGCAGTTTTTTGTTTTCAAACTGTCCTAATAGAGTATTTTTGTTCAAAATTAAGGAACATTCTTGTTTGTATAGTTTTGTTTCATTTCATTGTGAATTATTTGTAGATGTGTTGTGTCTGTCTAGGGGTATGTACATGTGAATTCTTCTGCTAATGGAGGCTAGAGGCATCAGATCCCTTGTAACTGGAATTACAGGTGCTGTGATCCCTAAGATAACCATTGTGGAGCTTTTTTTTTTTTTTTTTTTGGTTTTTCAAGACAGGGTTTCTCTATATTGTTTTGGAGTCTGTTCTGGAACTCACTCTGTAGATCAGGATGGTCTCGAATTCAGAGATCTGCCTGCCTCTGGATCCCGAGTGCTGAGATTAAAGGCGTGCACCACCGACACCTGGCTTTTTTTATACATTAAAATGGTCAATGGTTTAGTCTGTAAAGTAAAACGCTGTGGTCATGTAATTTAATTATGTGTGTCAGAAAAAGTCACTCTTCTTACATACATCCACTTGTGTGGTTTGTTTATATGATGCCTAGGGATTGGATCCAGAGTATCTCCCATGCCAGTTAGGCAATGTTTACTACCAAGTTAATCCTCCATCCCAGGATTTGAGTTAGGAAAGCATTAAAGTACAGAATGTATTTGTAAGGCTTCTGGGTTTTCTGTTTATTTGTTTGTTTTGTTTTTTAATCTTTTGTGGGAAGTAGGTTAGATTTATTTCTGAATTCTGTCAAGTTTGTTACTTATTAAAAACTTTTTGATCCTGACCAGTGGTGTGGCTTACCTTTAATCCCAGCACTCAGGAGGCAGAGGCAGGTGGATCTCTGTGAGTTCAAGATCAGCCTGGTCTATAAGAGCTAGTTACAGGCCAGCTTCCATAGCCACAGAGAAACCCTGTCTCAAGAAACCAAAACAATCAAACAAAAAACAGGGGTTCTCTGTAACTCTGGCGGTCCGGTTTGTAGATCAGTCTGGCCTTCTGAGTTCTGGGATTTAAAGATATGTGCCACAATGCCTGGGGAAACCTTACTTCTTAGGTAAGCGTATCAGAGCTATATTGTTTGAGATAGAGAAGTAAAATTGGTTATCATATCTAATATCCCCTCACCCTTTTTTCCTCCCTATATAGCTATTCAAAATCGTAATCCTGTATGGTATCAGGCTTTGACTCATGGTCTTAATGAAGAACAAAGAAAACAGTTGCAGGATATAGCAACTCTTGCTGATCAAAGAAGAGCAGCCCATGGTATGTTAGTAAACCTTAACTCCCTCTTCAATTAATGATTTCATACAGCTTTATAATTATGTGAAGAATTTTTTTTTTTTGGTTTTACGAGACAGGGTTTCTCTGTATTGTTTTGGAGGCTGTCGGTCCAACCTAGCCTGGAACTCACAGAGATCCGCCTGCCTCTGCCTCCTGAGTGCTGGGATTAAAGGCGTGTGCCACCGCCGCCTGGCTTATGTGAAGGAATTCAACATTCTGTAAAATGTATTTGGGCTGGAAGTGTATACAAATTCATCTTTAAGCATTTCAGTATGCATTTTAAAAATCCATATATGTATGATAACACAGCCTCACATTTTCTCTAAGTGTTAATATCCAGTTAACAATCAAAGATCCTCTGTATTAGTTGAGGATAGCATTCTGGTGGTTTTTGGTGTTTTGGAACATGCTGGTCTCGAACGCAGAGATCCACTGAGTGCTGGTATAAAAGGCACTCACTGCCACTGCCTGACCATTCTGGTGTATTTTATATTGGGGATTTAGTTGCATTTCACCGATTATTTGTTCCTTTTAAAGATGTATACTTAAGGATTTATTTGCATTATGGAAAATAATTTTTAAAAAACAATAAAATTGACAACTCTAGATACAGCTTATATAACTTATAAATGGTTTTTTAAGATCAGATGGGCATTAATGCTTCACCTCCTTGTTTTCTAGAATCTAAAATGATTGAGAAACATGGAGGATACAAATTCAACGCTCCAGTTGTGCCAAGTTCTTTCAATTTTGGAGGCCCGGCACCAGGGATGAATTGAGTTTCCACTTTCTTTCCTGCTGTGTGAGTGTAGTGAAGAGCTTGTGTTCCTCCTAGTAGTGGTTCCAGAACCGGTTCATGTTATCTACTAACTGATCAATAGATGGACAGAAACCCCAGGAGGTGGGAGCTGATCATGTAACCTGGCACTGGACGAGAAACTAGAGGGATCTGGGGAGGGGTTAACTTGGGGGGCTATTTTCTTTATTTTTTGAAGAAAGTAAGATCCTGACTCTGAAGCTTCAAGAGACACTGTGGAAATCTGAAACGAGGGGATGTCATGAAGGCAGCTTTTCTTTTTCTGAGGAAAAAAATAGGCATGGGCTACAGGACTATTTAAAATGTCTCATTTACAGTATAAAGTTCAAAGGTAGATGTAATTCTTACACCTTTAAGTATTTGTCCAATTTCTGTCTCTTCCTAACCATTGGGTATCCTTATGTAAATAAGATAAGGTAATCAGATAGCCTTATTCAGTCTTATCATTTTCATTCATCAGATTGTTCCTATGTAGATTGGACATTATTGTAGCACTACATAACTGATTTTAAAATCTGTAAATGAATTAGCACTTTCATATTGAAACAAGCCTGCTAGCCTATGTATAAAAGCAAAACTGTTTGCTGTTTATAAAAAGGGATATAATGGGGTGGGGGGCAAAGGGGTAATTTCAGGTTAATTATTAATTTAAAAATGAACTAGCAATTTTGTATCTGGTGACTTTGTGGTGCACTCACCTCTGGTAGTGACTTGAATTCGGTATGTAAAAAGGGGTTAGTGATGTTTCATTGCTGCTAAAAATGGCAACTCCCTCTGTGTCCTTTTTTGTTCCTTAAAGCTCTCAGTGTACAAGTGGACATTTGGATACAAGACCTTATGTAACAAACAAAGGTGATATCTGAAGCATGTAAATTGGACATAAAATTCTACTCTTAAAGAGTTGATCTAGAATATGGCTAAACATCTATATATGCAATCTATTAAAACAACTTAATTCGGCAATTATGTCTTGATCTGATTGCAGTTTATTCCTAATTATTCCCTATTCCCATTGACCTGTTTTTATCCTGTATCAGAAAGTACAAAATGTACTTAAGAAAGACTAATACTTTCCCATTCCCCTTTCCTCATCTCTTCTACCCGTCTTGAAATGGTGTCTTTATCCTAACTCTGTAGACTGAAGGCACATGGTTCCCTCTAAAAACCACTATTGATACCACTGCAGAATCAAGCCAGCAACAACAGGGTAGTGAGGTGGGCTTCTCCCCTCTCTTCCTAAATGCATGTTCAAAGATAAGCCTTTATTGATCTTAAACATCTGTCAGATGAGTCATACATTGGATTATTTTTTATATACATGTATACACAATATTTCAAATTGAAAGCAACATCTCAGTGGATTCAAAACTACTACATACTGTTGTCTAAAACAAAATTTATAAACTGTACAAATGAAATGCACATATTGATATTTAAAATGCATAATTAAGAAAACCCTTTGGTGTTGTGTTTTTCTTGTATGCCAATACTTAAGCCACTAATGTTGGCACTGTTTGGTCTTCTATTTTAACTCGGAAGGGGTGAATGTATTTCTTAATTTAATACTAAACTCTTGGCCAAAAGGAAAAGATGTCTAAATGTGTGGGTGCAAACTGATAATCAAGTGTGCTTCTATTACCATCTGATAGTTGGGGCACCAAGTGTATATCCTAGGTTGCTTAATGGAATGTCACTAATTTATGAAATCAATAAAATAAAAATGGAGTAGTTATATATCTGCAACATTGTATCTAGAGGGGAAATACTGAATATTATTAACATCGTCTTCCTGTATGGTTTTTTTTTTTTGTTTTTGTACCCTAGTATCTACTTTACTTTTTAAAATCTCAGACTTCACTGATCTCTGAATTGATCCAGTTTTACATTGTCACTGGAAAACCTATCTAATAAAGGTTTTGGTTAGTCCCATACACAGAATGAAATTTCTCATTTGGTGAGGTTTTTGTTTCAAGTAACTGTACTGGCATGTCTTTACATAAACATTTGGTCTCATTCCAGCACTATGAAGACAGAGGCAAAGTTCAAGGATAGCCTGGTTCACAGAGTTATAGGACAGTCAAGGCTACCAGAGAGAAACCTCAAAATTTGTAATTTTGTATTCAAGTAGTTTATCAGACATACCTAAATTTTCACTTTCATCACACTTAACCTCACATTTCAAGTTTCTGGAAGATATCAATAAACCCCCCCATCATTGTATTTATTTTTGGGTGTTTTTGTTTTGGAGACAGGGTCTCTGTAACCATTGTTTGATGTAACTTATGTAGACCAGACTGGCCTTGAACTCTATGCCTCCCTAGTAGGATATCATATTAAAGGTCTGGCCGGGCGGTGGTGGTGCACGCCTTTAATCCCAGGCAGATCTGAGTTGGAGGTCGGGCTGGACTGATAGCTTCCAAAACAATACAAAGAAACCCTGTCTCGTAAAAACCAAAAAAAAAAAAAAATCTGTGTTACTATTTTATGTGTATGTGTATGGGTGTTTTGCCTCTAAGTGCGTGCATTTCCCAAAGAGACCTGGAATTGGAGTTAACATGGTTGTGAAGCCACCCACCATGTGGCTCCTGAGAATTGAACCTGGATCCTCTTGAAAAGCAGCTTAACTTGACCCAGTTCTTGCAATTTGTGCATAGACTTAATTTTTTCACTTATTTAGATGCTGGTTTTCCTTTTTGTTCTCCCAACATATTGCTGTTAGAGACCAGAGAGTATAGCAAGGGGGACCAACACTACCTTGTGCCTGTGGTAGGCCAGAAGATAGCGTTGGCATTACCCTAGTAGTGGAATCTGGGATGGCCATGAGCCGCCCTGGGGTTTGGAACTTTCTGAGATAGGATGCACTCACTGGTCTTTTTAACTTGACCCTTCTGCCTCTGTGTAATACTAGTTTTTATCACCAGCCCCCAAATAAGGACAGGGACACTTTTAAAGATTTATTATGTATACCGTATTCTGCCTGAATGCCAGAAGAGGGTTCCAGACCTCATTACAGATGGTTGTGAGCCACCATGTGGTTGCCGGGAATTGAACTCAGGACCTCTGGAAAAGCAGCCAGTGCTCTTGACCTCTGAGCCATCCCTCCAGCCCTCTTTTTTTTTTTTTTTTAACACAATACAGGGTTTCTCTATATTGTTTTGGAGGCTATCCGTCCAGCCCGGCCTCGAACTCAGACATCCGCCTGCCTCTGCCTCCCGAGTGCTGGGATTAAAGGCGTGCGCCACCACCGCCTGGCTCCCTCCAGCCCTCTTATAACTTCTTTTAATCTGTGTTTTGTTGGTGTGGCTTGTAACCACATCTCTCTCTACTGCTCATGCTGCTTTTTCCATATTTGCTGGCTACCCACCTTTCTTCTCTGTCTCCAGAAGTTCTGTCTTATCTCTTCCTGACTAGCTTTGGCAGTTCTGTTCTTTATTAAACTAATCACAGTGACACATCTTTCACACAGTGTAATGGTGTCGCGTCTGCTGCACGCCTGTGTCCAAGAACGTGCAGAGGGTGTCGGGGATTGACAACACAGAGACTTGTTCAACAATGTAAAGAAAACTTTAAGCAGGCACCAAAAAGGTTCAAGAAAACTTCCTAAGAAAGGCTCCCTCCAGAAAAGCTTCTGCTCTCTCCTCTACCCTGGCTGGTTCTGCTCTGACACCAAAAACTGATCTGGGCGTGGCAGAAGAGGCGGTTAGTCTTTGGACTAGGTCGAGGTCAGGGTGGTTTATAAGCGGTTGTAAAAATACAATATTGGTGCTGAGAATTGAACCTGGGTTCTCTAGAAGTGGAGCTAGTTTTTAACTTCACCCATCTTTTCAGGCCTAGAATAGAGGTTCTTAAATGGAATAACCAATAGTGTTTCTCCAGAGCTTAGTAGAGGTAGGTTGTAACTAACTAGCTAAAATAAGTCAGTGACACTATTGGCTCTATATTCGAGTGCAGTATGATGTGAGCAAGCTCACACTGAATAAACTGGGTGTTGAAAAGGTGTATTTTGAGGGTCCCACAGGCAGATACATAAATAGGCAATTGTTATTTTATTGTTACAGATGGATCTGGGCATAGGGGCGTACTTGGAATTCTAGCACTTAGGAGACTGAGGCAGAATGATCCTGAGCTAGCTTGGGCTACACTGTAAGACCCTATCTTAAAATAATAATAGAATAGTTAAACAGTACTTGGAAAGATGAGGCAGGATGATCAGGAGTTCAAAGGCAGCTTCATTCCTCACGACATAGTGAGTTAAAAGCCAGTCTGGGCTACATAATGAGACCATGCCCCAAATATACCAAACAACAAGAAAGAGCTACACAGCCATAAAGGGCTAGGACTTACTCTATCACAATGCCTCTCAAAAATATCTGTGGCTGGGATTAGCTAGCCTCACCTGCCTAGCATGTTATTTTGTGCACCAGCTTGGCACCAGAGACCCACCTCCATCGCCTCCCAAGCAGTGGGATGAAAGGTGTATACCATATGTTTTTTTTTTTTTAATTGAGCTTTTAAAGCAAACAAGTGTCATGGCCTGGTACCCAAAAGACAGGAACTCTCTAGTGCAAGTCTCTAGATTTAGTCCAACACCACCCAAACATTTTCCTAGTGTATGAGTGGCCAGATTTGACCTCTAGCAATACATGACAGAGATGACATTTCTGGTTACTATGGAATCAGCACACCTAGTTTTAGTGTGTAGCCTGAGGTATAGAATTTACTAACTTCACAAAAGATTTTAAGGAGGTTTTGATAATAAAATTATGGAAAAAGGTTTTTTTTTTTGTTTTGGTTTTTCGGGGCAAGGTTTCTCTGGCATTGGAGGCTGTCTTGTAGACCAGGCTGGTCTCGAAGTCCAGAAATACCTCTGCCTCCCGAGTGTTGGGATTAAAGTGAGCCACCACCGCCCGGCTTGGAAAAGTATATTTATTTCCAGTCCTGTAAGTAAAGCTAGCCAGTATCAAGCAACCTAACGAAATGTCATGTCCCATTTTTCTCAGGATCTAAAGAGTAATCACTTCATTTTGCATTCCTGGTAGTTAAAGCAGTGGTTCTCAACCTGTGGACCACAAACCCTCAAGTTCCAGGTACCAAGGTGTGTTCCCTTTCAGATGGCATTTGCTTACCAATTACGTTTAATTAATGCCTTGGTTAAAAATAGCAACCAAAAAACTGGAATGATGCTGGGTATGGCATAAACTTGTACTCCAATCTCTGGTGGCTGAAAGACGAAGATCCCCGACCGAGTGGGAGCAATCTCAAACCGAGAGAATGCAACACTTTGTAAATCCCGACTAGATTGTTATCTTTAAACATTTTTTACTCGCTTTATTCCATCATTATATGAAATGCAACCAAGAGAATAAAATATGCTACTGGTGGTCAGCCTCCCTATCATATTGGGATATAAACCTGGCAACTCGTCCTCACTGAGCACACTGCAGCTCAGTACCGCCTGAAATGGCTTTAAAAAGGGTTGGGTCGAGAGTACAAGCAACATACCACACACGCCACAACTAAAGTCTCAATAAGCTTAAAGAGCACGACAAATGCTCGCTCCATCCTTTAGTTTGGACACAACGGGGAAAGAACATACAAAGGAACGCAGCGACGCCAAGTCGATCGACTTCAAACTTTAGAGCCACAAGTTCTCGGACACACTAGACCGTTCGTACTCTTCTCAGTGGAAGCTCGGCTCTGCCGGAATTGCAACAGCAGCAAACTCAAATTCCCACCGCACAGCCGTGCCCGGTAACGGGAAAGGGCAGGCAGGTTTGGCCCCGGTTGCCGCCATCAGCTACAGGGACACCAGAGCCCCAGAGTGAAGGCCTCCCTCGGCCGGCTAGAGTCCCCAGGGAGCGCGTGGTCCCCGTGCAGCCCTACTACCCCCGTTATCCTTCCTCTCAGTGGAATTACATCGGTCCGTAGCGAGGCAAGGCCCATGCGGCCTCCGACACGCGCTCCGGCAAGCTCACCGGGCGCTCCAAACCCTCCACCTCGGTCCTGTAGGGAAAATGGCGCCCATCACCCTATTTCCCTCCCGGGCAATCAAAAGGACCAACCTCCCTCCCTCGCTACAAAATGGCGCCTCCCGCTGGGGCCCCAGAATCGGCATAATTCACTTGTCGGTAGGGTGGAGTGGTACGGGATGAGCGGCTTTTCCAACCAGTCAGACGCAGAAGCTTTAATTCCGCCCTCGACGCCAGCCACTCAGACGCGGGCAGGAAGGACAAGCTGTGATGACGTACGACAGATAGGCGTGGCTACAGGCGTTTTCCTGTCCGTCACTCAATTTGGACCAATAGAGAGCAAGAGTCTTCCCGTGAGTGACGTAATCACAGCCCAATGGAGGCTAGGGGCGGGCTTCAGAATTGCTATGCGGGTTGCGGGGCCTGGGGGCCGGGCGGCTGTTTCCTGTCCTGGTGCATGGTGGTCGGACGAAGGAATTGTTGGAAAATTTTCTCGGAGGTTCGTATATAAATGTGTTTTTACCCAGTGTGCATTATTCTCCGCCCGACCGCCGCCCTCAGCGCGACGGCACGGGCCCAGTTGGGCCCCGGCTCTACCTCCAGCTCTCCCCCATGCCGGGCCTAGGCCGGGCCGCTCCTACGGCCGCCTTCGTAGCGGAGCCCGGGCAAACGCGGAGTTTATTAATAACCCAAGGCCGCCACTCTGGGGCGGCGGAGCGTTCCTCGCAGAGGACGCCACCTCCCCCACCCCACGCCGCGCCCCGCCTGTTCCCGCAGGGGGCCATGGAGGGGAGGGAGAGAAAGGGGAGGGTGGAGCTCTCGGGAGCCGGGCGCCTTTGCTCGGCCTGACCTTCCGCGCGGAGCGCATCCCCAGGCGCTCCGTGGCGCAGCTCATCGGGCTGGGCCTCCGGGCCTCAGTTCAGAGCCAGCCCCAGCAGGGGCGCGGGCCCTGCGGCCGGGGACACTGCCGGCACATCGCACCCGGGTTCCTTCCTAGTGTCATCGTGGGCATATTTGTTCTTTTTCAAATTTTTTTCTTTAAAGGTCTCTGGGCTAACATCGAGTATTGAAAATAGCTATTTGTGATTTCCGTTTGCTTTCCTTTTGGCCAAAGAACAAATGTTTTATAGTGGGACTTTGGTCCACTCTTAACTTTTCCCCTTCCCTTACACGGTTTTAATACGTGGAAAAGATTACCACTGCCCACCTATTTGTTTAGAATCAAGCTTTGCCTTCACTTTTGAAATATCCAAATCAGCTGGCATAGTCGGTTGAAATAGTTAGAAATAACAAATTTCAAATTGCGTTTTAGTTTAGTTCTTAATTTTTCTAGGAAAGACATGTTCTGCTGTAGTTGGCGAAAAACTGACAATTTCTTCATTCTAAGTATATGTTAAATTCGTTGTGAAGTGTTGAGATTATGAAACATCAGTAAGAAGCATAAATTTAATCTTGACATTTTGACTTTTTGGAGATTTAACCAACTCTGCAAATATTCTCTTCCCTTTTATTTTGAATAGTTTTTATCTGGGCTTGGTGGCTCTCTATAATTCTAACATTCAGAAAGTCTGAGGCTGGAGGAGTACCCTGAGTTCAAGACTACACTTTATCGCATAGTTATAGCCAGGTACATACTGTGAGCTATTATCTCAGAATAAGTAAATGATTAGCAAGGTTTTTAACAAAATTCATATACCTTCAAATTCACTTTCTAAAACAATCAAAACTAGGCCTAGTAGTTGAACTTCCAATACTGTGATAGGAGAAGCTACAAATTCAAGGCCTTGACTTGACTACAGATTTAGTGTAAGACCAACCTGGAAGTGAGACCCTATTTCAAAAAAATAAGAAATAGGTTGGGAAGCCGCATGATGGCAGAGTGTTTACCTGCCTCGCCTTAAATGTGGTCCCTAAGACAAATGAACTCACCTTGCCGATGCATACTTATGATCCTAATATGTGGGAGTAGAAATAGGAGGGTCAGGAGTTTGAGGTCATTCTTGGCTATATATTGAGTTCAAGTCTAGCCAGGAGCAGCTTGTCTCAGGAAACAAAAACAAAAAAGTGCACACCTTTATTCCCAGCAGCACTCAGGAGGCAGATAGATCTCTTGTTCATAGTCAGGGCTACACAGCGAGACCCTGTCTTAAAAAGAAAAATATTAAAAAAAAAAAAAAAGCCGTGAGTTGGTGGTGCACGCCTTTAATCCCAGTCTTGGAAGGCAGAGGCAGGAGGATCTCTGTGAGTTCGAGACCAGCCTGGTCTACAAGAGCTAGTTCCAGGACAGCCTTCAAAGCCACAGAGAAACCCTGTCTCGAAAAGCAAAAAAAAAAAAAAAAAAAAAAAAATTAGTATAAATACTTGACTGGCCTGGTGCCCAAAGAGGCCAGAAGGTGCCAGATCCCCTGAAACTGTAGTTATAATGATCGTGAGCCTTTATGTGAATGCTGGGAACCAAACCCAGGTCTTCTGGAGTAACAGCCAGTGATCTTAGCCTCTTAGCCACAGGTCTATCTTCCAGCTCCCTAAATTCACATCTTTGTTTGTTTTCTCTGTGTATGTCTGTGTGCCACAGTGTACATGTGGAGGTGAGAAGACATCTTGATGGAGTCTATTCTCCCCCTCCATCATGTGGGTACCAGGGAGTTACTCTTGTCATGCTTGGCAGCAGGCACCTTCCTCATAAGTCATTGTATGGCCCTGTAGACACGGTTTTATGTCTCAGGTGTAATAGCCTAGTAATGGAACTGTATTCATAGCCGGGTGCCACCAGTCTGTAATCCTAGCAAGTGGACAGCAGAAGGATGATTGCTGCAGGTTCAAGGCCAGCCTGGGCTTCATAATGAGTTTCAGGCTAGCTAGCAGGGCTACAGAGAAAGACCCTGCCTCCAGAAAAGAAAAAAAAAAGAAAGAGAATAGGAATGAGATTGCATGTACCATTTGCACAATTACCCTGTTAACAGCAAGTATAGGGATTCTAATTTATCCACCTTTGCAGCTTTTTTTTTGTTTCCTTGTTTGTTTTTGAGACAGGATATCTCCATTTAGTCCTAGCTCTCCTGCTTTGTAGATCAGGCAGAGCTTGAATTCACAGGGATCCTGCTTTGGCCTCCCAAGTGCTGGAATTATAGCCAGCCTTCTTTGCCAATTCTTGTTACTATCAGTCTTTTGGTTTGTTTTGTTCCATTCTGTTTGAGACAGGTTCATGCTATGTAATCCAGACTTGAATTAAATTTAGCATCCTGCCTGACCAGCTGTGCCACCACACACACACAGTGGCTCTTTTTATTTTATTATAGCCTTCCTATTTAGTGTGAAGCAGTGCTATCTTTTGTGGGTTTGGTTTGCATTTCTTTCATTGCTAGTGAAGTTGAACATTTGTTATTCATTTGTTTATTGACCTTTTGTCTATCTTTGGAGAAATGTCTGTATCCTTCACCTATTTGAAAGTTGGATTAGAGCTGGAGAAATGACTTGGCATTTAAAGGCTAAGGCTCACAACCAAAAAGTTAGATTATGTGGTGAGGTGGTGAGTTATAAAGCTGGGCTATGTACTTTTTTTATAATTATACTTACCTATTTGTGTGGGGGGTGGTGGTGAAGAGTAGATGACACTGTGAGCTTGGGTACTCATGTATGTCAAAGGACAAGTTGTGAAAATCAGGTTTCTCTTTCCACCTGGTGAGATCTGGAATTGAACTCAGGTTGCTAGGCTTGGCTATAGCTCAGAGGTAGAGAGCACTTATCTGGATTGAATCTTCTGTAGTAGGATGGAATATTGAAAGTCTCTTCTCTCTATGGCATACTCTTCTGCTGCTTACTTTTTTTCCCCTTACTATATATCTTTGGACACATTTCTCACCATTTTATATAGCTATCTCTTTTTACTGCTGCCTAGAGATCAAACCCACAGTCTTGCAGATGGTAGCTCTAGAGTAGAGCTGTGCCTAGAGAGGTGATTTCTTTTTGCTGTCGCATGCTTCTTTTATTGGTAGCATATTTAACATGTCTTTTTGATGGACTTTTATGTTGTTGATGACTTACTGCTATTGCAAATAACATTTCATTAACCTGTATACACTTATACAAGTGTTTTTTAAAATTTATTTGAGGGAGGGCATACACTTTCTGCAGTACCTGTGTGGAGGTCAGAGGACAACTTGAGGGAGGGAGTCTCTCTCCTTCCCCTCTGTGGCTCCTGGGGATCAGAGTCAAGTCATTAGGGACATCTGCTAAGCCACCTCTTAGACCCTCAGGAGTGTTTAAAAATACTAACAACCATGTGGTTGGACATCTTTGTGTTTATTTTATGGACGAACATGATAGTACCTGCCTTTAATTCCAGCACTTGAGAGACAGAGGGAGGCAGATATTTGAGTTTAGGCCAGCTAGGTTTGCATAGTGAGACTGTGTCTCAAAAAACTGAAACAAAAAGATTTATTTTTTTAATTATGTGTGTTGATGGTTCTATATATGAGTGTTATTCATGAATGCCTATGGAAGCCTGAGGTATCAGATCCTCTGGAGCTGTAATTACAGCAGTTGTGAGCTGGCAATTGAGCTTACATCCTTTGCAAGAACAGTTGGTACACTTAATGACTGAGCCTTCTCTCTGGCCCTCAGTTGTCTTTTTAATCATTGGTACCAAGTTATTCAGTTACAGTGTGAATTTTTTTTTAAAACCTCCACACTGTGTTTTCTTTTGTTTCTTTTTGAGACAGGGTTTCCTTGTGTAGCCTTGGCTGACCTAGAACTAGCTCTGTAGGCTAAGTTGGCCTCCAACTCACAAAGATCTGCCTGCCTCTGCCTCCGAGCACTGGAATTAAAGGCAGTGCACCACCACACCCAGCTTAATTCTCTATTTCTATGATAGTATGCACTTAGCAGTTAGGTGTGTATTTATGTTTATAGACATTGTATACACATTTTTAAGTAGCTTGCCAATGGTAAAGATCTTAAGGAGAATGTACCAATGAAATTATAAAGTTATGTAGGAGACAGATTGAATTTCTGCTCAATTGGGATTAATTCTGACAGCATCGCATAGCTATAAAAAGTTGTACTTTTTTGTCCAACAGTTTTAATCCTGGCAGCTTTTAATTAATTAATTTTTCTGAGGCAGAGTGAGTGTGTGTGTGTGTGTGTGTGTGAGAGAGAGAGAGAGAGAGAGAGAGAGAGAGAGAGAGAGAGAGAGAGAGAGAGAGAGAGAGAGAGAGAGAGGTGCAATAGCACTTATGCGAAGGTCAGTGGAATTGGTTCTCTCCTTCTATAATATGGGTATCAGGAATTAAACTAAAGCTGTTTGATGGGAGGTACCCAGTAAGCCATCAAAATGGTACCTAATGATTTTGTTTGTTTTGTTTTTGTGTTTTGGGACAAGTTTCTCTGTGTAACAGCTGTGGCTGTCCTGGTACTCTGTAGACTAGGCTGGCCTTGAACTTATAGAGATCCACCTGCCTCTGCCTCCTGAGTGAAGGAATTAAAGGCATGTGCCACCAGGCGGTAGTGGTACACACCTTTAATCCCAGCATTCAGGAGGCAGAGGCAGATCTCTGTGAGTTCTAGACCAGCCTGGTCTACAAGACCTAGTTCCAGGTCAGCCTCCAAAACCACAGAGAAACCTTGTCTTGAAAATTAAAAAAAAAAAAAGCATGTGCCACCACTGCTAACTAGCCTAAATGAAAATGTGTGCCTACTGCATAAAAAGAAAAATGATAAACAGCTTGTAAGGGAAAGATGTCTTGTTTGGAGCTTAGGAATTGAGGCAGAAAAGAGTCGCCATGCTGCTGGAGTAACATGCTGTATTATGGGTAAGCCACAGCTTCGTGGCAATACATAGGTTCATAGAAATGGGTTAATAATTACTTCCAGAGCTAGCCAATGAGAAGCCTAAGCCATCAGCCAACAGTTTTATAATTAATATAGTGTCCATGTGTTATTTGGGACTGAAGGGCAGCGGGACCTGGCAGGACAAAAACCTCCATCTTCACAGGATGAATGCATATTATGCATTTAGGCATGTGAACTTCGGATTCTCGGCTCTTAATGTGCTAAAACAGTAAAAACCCACCCCTCAAAATTTTTATGTGAATGAAGAATGATCATTATGAATAAATGTTGGCCTAATAAAAATTTACAAAAGTGAAAAGTGCTGTAGAATATAATTTAGAGATCTTTTCTGTAGTTTATTAGAAATTGGACCAGGTGCCGGGTATTGGTGGCCCACACCTTTAATAACAGTACTCAGGCAACAGAGGAAGGTGGATATCTGAGTTCAAGGTCAGGATAGTCTATAAAGTGAGTTCTAGGACAGCCAGGGCTACACAGATAAATTCTCCCTGTCTCAAAAAACCAAAAAGAAAGAAAAAAATTAGGCTAGGGAGTATAGCTCAATGGAAGAGTAGTTGTCTTAACATGCCAAAGACCATGGAAAATCTTCACATACACACCAAAGATACCCTGATATAGTTTATTAGGAAAGAAAACAAGTGGATACAGTGTTATCTCTAATTATACCACGAAAATGTAAGTACGGAAATAGATAGCAAGCAGTAGAGAATAAAAGAGGTTAGATTTGTTAAGCTATTGAGAATCATTTTTCTTTATTTCTTTCTTTGAGACAGGGTTTCTCTGTAGCTCTTGCCATCCTAGAACTCGCTCTGTAACCAAGCTGACCTCAAACTCAGAGATTACAAGAAAAATGTAATAGTGTAGAAAACAAAGTAATGTTGGGCATGGTGGCATACTCCTTTAATGCCAGCATTTGGGAGTAGAGGTAGGCAGAATTCTGTGAGTTCAGGGCTTGCCTTATGAACATACTGAGTTCCAGGGCTATATAGAGAAACTGTTTCCAAAAAAAAGAAAGAAACTACAGCCTCCAAAACAATAGAGAAACCCTTTCTGGAGAGAAAAAAAAAAAAAAGATACGGGATATTCCTAATTTGTTTGATCCCCCCCTTTTTGTGGTTGTAAGTAAGCGTGAAGAAAGCATGCATGTGAACTGTCTATTCATTTCTTTTGCTGTTCAGCCTGTTGAAACTGGTGACCCTAATGGCCTGCCAGGCCACTCTTTCTAGGATGGCTTCAAGGAGGAGACAGTGTAAGAGATCTCAGCACAGTAAAGTCCATTGTGTGTCAGGAACCAGCATGCATTTGTGTGCTCCAGGCTCCCCAAACCATTGAGGAGCATCAGGGTCCGGGCCTTGAATCTTCACCGCATGCTTCTGTCAGTAGCCTCTGGGTTTTTGACAGCTGTGCTTAATTTTGGCCTATGGATCTGACTGGTGCTGGATAAATTTCATCTTGGGCTTCATCAGAATTAATCCAAAATATGGAGTAAGAGATAGCAGCCACCTCTAGAGGCAGAGTCTCATTATGTAGTCCAGGCTGTTCTTTAGCTTTCAGTGATCTGCCTCCCTTCCCTTGATTGCAGGCATGGTCCACCACAGATTCATCAATGACTTTGCATATATAGTAGGTCTTCCTCTGTTGCTATGTAGGTAATATTCTATTATGGATTCGTTACCTCTTGTTTACCCTCCCTTTTATGGATGGACATTTAAATTCATTGTAGTTCAGAGTTACCAGCAAACCTCATAAATATTCTTTTGTTTTCCTTCCTAAAGGTGACGAGTAGTGGAGGCAAGCGCTCTACCACTAAGCTAAATCCCAACCACATATAAATATTCTTATAGAAGTCTTTTGGGGGGACTGGGGAGTTGGCTCAGCAGTTAAGAACTCTGACTGCTCTTCCAGAGAACACAGGTTCAATTCTCAGCACCCACATAGTAGCTCACAACTGTCTAAAACTCCAGTTCAATACCCTCACATACATGCAGGCAAAACACCGATGCACATGAAATAAGTAAGTAAATAAATCCTTTAAAAAAAAAAGTCATGTTGGGTGTTGGTGGCACACAGGAGGCAGAGGCAGGCAAATCTCTGAGTTCGAGGCCAGCCTGGTCTACAAGAGCTAGTTCCAGAACAGCCTCCAAAGCCACAGAGAAATCCTATCTGGGGGGTGGGGAGAGTCGGTAGATAGCTTTTATTTCTTTGGGGTTAAGTTCTAGAGTTTCCTCTTAAAGATCAGTGTATCTATAGAGGATTTACAAAAAATTACATACTAACAGTGAGAAGTCATTAAATTTAATTCCACCCACCCCCCCGGTGTGTGTGTGTGTGTGTGTGTGTTGGGTCTTGAACAGCGAATTACACCCTCAGTCCTCAGGAAATATTCTTAGCAGCAGCTTGAAAACAAAAAATAGTTGTGACAAGGAAAGAGTAATAGCTGAGATATGTGGTATTTTGCTTGCTTTATGCTTTTTCATGGATAGATAAATGGATGCATGCTGATACTGAGGAACTGGGGTAGTTGTATCATTTACACAAGGCCCCTGAGCTATCCTAAGGAAGAGAACTTAACAAATGTAGAAAATGGGAGAAATTAAGTGCAATCTGGCCCTGTAATTTTGAGGTGGTGTGGTCTATGTTGTCATTGTTTTGAGATAGGGTCTCACAGTGTAGCCCTGGGTGGCCAAGAACTGTATAGGTTAGACTAGCCTCAGATTCACAGAGATCCTACCTCTGGAGTGCTGGGGTAAAAGGCGTGTACTAGACACTCTAGCAATAAGTTTCTTAGTCGTACAGAAAGCAAACCTGGGCATATTTGTCAAACTGTGCTGTGTAGATGTGCCCTTTAGCTATGTCAGTAGTATGTCTTGCTGGAGTTTTAAAAGATGTTTGTTGGTTTAGTAACCCTACCCTGCATATTAAGTGAAATTTCATCTTCTGTTAAGCATCATTCACATCTTTAACTATTTTTTTTTGTGATTCACATGTGTTATTTGCAGCTTTTTGTTTGTTTGTTTTGTTTTGTTTGAGATAGGGTCTCACTATGTAGCTCTAACTGTTCTAGAATTCACGATGTAGACCAGGCTGCTCTGCCTCCTGAGTGCTGGGATTAAGGACATGTGTCACCATGCCCGGCCAAGATTTTACATTTGTGTATTTAGTGTGCTCACTGGTGTGCGTGTGTAGATGATTTGTAGAAGCCAGTTCTTTTTTTCCTCTAAGGGAATTCTGGGGACAATACTCAGGTAGGTCATCAAACTTGAAAGTAAGTGTCTTTACCTGTGAACCATCTTAGCTTTTATTTCATGTGTATCATTCCTTGTTCTCAAGTGCTCATATTTTTCTTCAAGGTAGAAAATGTTGTTAGCCCAAATAAATCGGGATTCTCAGGGAATGACAGAATTTCCTGGAGGAGGAATGGAGGCTCAGCATGTTACTCTATGCCTGACAGAGGCAGTAACCGTGGCAGGTAAGCCGTTGTGCTCCAAAGGATCATGGAAGTATAGAAGTCGCAATTAAAGAACTTTAAAAAAAAACTTTTTAAAAGAATCCCATACATGTATTCAGTGTGTCTTGATGATATCTAGAACCCTCCCACTCTTTCATTTTCAATTTGGCTACATAATATTTTAGTAAATTCTAAAAAAAAAAAAGATTCTATTTTAGTCTCTTAAAGAGTTAAGCAACTTGCGTTTTGCCTAGTTTTCATTTTATAAAAATAATTTAATGTTATTAGCAGGCACATATATTGCTATCTAAAAAATAAATTTGTTTTATCATAGATGGTGACAATTTAGAAAATATGGAAGGTGTAAGTTTGCAAGCTGTAACCCTTGCAGATGGTTCTACTGCTTACATACAGCACAATTCTAAAGGTATGTGCATCATGTGTGGCCAGCTAGTTAATGCCAATAACTCAGAGCCATAACTAGACACCTCCATCCCAACCTCCTAAAGATGGCATATGATACTTGAAGTTGGTTTAGTTAACTTAAGTTTTGCCTTGATAATTTTGGGCTACCCTTTGAGATTGCTGAAAGATATTCTGGGGTAGTTAAAGGGGGGAGAAAGTAAGACATTGCTTTTTAGCTCCAGATTGTGATTGAAGGTGTTTACAAATATGTAAAGAACATGTTTGGTTTTCTTAAAATGACATCATCTCTGAATTGATGTTTAGTTTGCTTCAAGAAATAGCCTAGTTTGCCGGGCGTTGGTAGCGCATGCCTTTAATCCCAGCATTCTGGAGGCAGAGGCAGGAGGATTTCTGCGGAGTTTGAGACCAGCCTGGTCTACAAGAGCTAGTTCCAGGACAGCCTCCAAAGCCACAGAGAAACTCTGTCTCAAAAAAAAAAAAAGAAAGAAATAACCCAGTTCTAAAACTCCTTTTTAGTATGGAAAACTGCCATGTGTATGTGGACATAGTTCCCAGAGGTGAGAGTATGAACTGGATTCACATACACATACATGACTGTTCAGCTTCCCTGTTCTCAGGGTCATTGGTACTAAGTAGTTCTGAGCAGTACACAGAGGTTCAATGCATGTAGCTTACTGTGATGAGCCACTCTTCCTCTTGAATTTATCTGATTGAAAACTGGAGGGAGGAAGGATGGCTGAGGGAGGATTTTCTGCTTTCTATAGGATCACTGGATATGATATTGAATTGCCTCAGAACATTGAGGGAAGAACCAAGATGAACATGAGCTTAAGTAGTGTATGTTTTTATAGTTGATATCATTTTGAAATTGTATATAAAGTTTTAAAATTTTTGCTGCTAATTTATTGGCTTGGATATTTTGTTCCAGATGGCAGACTCATTGATGGCCAAGTCATTCAGTTGGAAGATGGTTCTGCTGCCTATGTTCAACATGTCCCCATACCTAAAAGTAGTAAGTATTTAAGACGCAACAGCCATCATGGTAGCACATGCTTTTAATCCCAGCACTCAGAGAAGGCAGATCTCTGTGTAATTGAGGCCATCTTGGTCTATATAGTGCAGGGTAGCCAGGATTACACAATGAGACCATTTCGTTAATCATAATAAACAAAAAAAGACAGTATGCAAGAAACTCCCCTGATTTTCAGACCTTATAATTTGCTACCTCCAGCTTGTCCCTGCTACCTAATTTAGTCTGATTTCTAGTCTTTCTCTGAAGAAGGGTCAAGAGACACCAGACAGAGGATCAAACTTAACCAAGACTCCTCTAACAGATAATAGAAAAGACATTGCTGGGCTGAGCCCATGAGATTAGTACACAGCCATCCTAAGGAAATGTGGCTGTTTTGGAGCCAAATCCCACGTCACTCACTCTCTTTTCTTCATTCAGTTCTCCTCATCCTTGGAATATATTCTTAAAACAAGTCTCAGGCTTCCCTTTTCCTTGAAAGAGTTTCTCAAAGCAATGTCCCTGAGATTATTTAGATGTCCAGTGGCTCCTAAAGCAGGTGTGTGTAATCTGACTCTGTTGCTATGTGAGTTAGCTGGAACATGCTAGAGACAGGGTATCTAAATGTAAGCATTGCTCTTGAGCAGGGGACAGTTTGCGGTTGGAGGATGGGCAAGCAGTGCAGCTAGAAGATGGAACCACTGCGTTTATTCACCACGCTTCTAAAGGTACAATAATTCTGTGAATATGAGTAACACAAGAGAAAGGTGGGAGTGTGGGGAAAAGAACTGTCTTTGGCTGCTGGAATGTTGTCATGGAATAACAGTTGCTTATTCCTTGAAGTACAAAGCAGCAGGTTGGGACATTATTTAAGGAAAAACTGATAGCTTGAGCTGTCTAGGAACAGTTTATCACAACAAACAGCACAGACTTTTGAGCCAGGCATTTGAATACCAGGAACTGACACAAGTGCAAATTATGGTTTCTCTACTTGTACTCAAAAATGAGTATGTTAGGTGGGTGGTGTGATGCACGCCTTTAACCCCAGATCGCAGGAAGCAGACACAGGCAGATCTCTGAGTTCCAGGCCAACCTGGTCTACAGAGCTAGTTCCAGGTCAGACTCCAAAGCTGCACAGATAAACCATGTCTCAACAACTCCTCCCTCAATCCCCCACCCCTCCACCCTGTCCCCCCACACCCCACAACCCACAAAAAAAAAAAGGAGTATGTTAATCTTTTAGGTTAAATGTTACATTGAGGCCGGGCGGTGGTGGCGCACGCCTTTAATCCCAGCAGAGGCAGGCAGATCTCTGTGAGTTCGAGGCCAGGCTGGACCGACAGCCTCCAAAACAATACAGAGAAACCCTGTCTCGTAAAACCAAAAAAAAAAGTTACATTGAATATTGAGCCTTTTTATTATGTTCCTATAGAGGTGGTGAATTCTGCCTCAGGGTATTTTTTAAGGATTTTATTTATTACGTATACAGCGTTCTGCCTCCATGTATGTCTGCATGCCAGAAGAGGGCACCAGATCTCAAAACAGATGGTTTTGAGCCACCATGTGGTTGCTGGGAATTGAACTCAGGACCTCTGGAAGAACAGGCAGTGTTCTTAACCCCTGAGCCATCTCTCCAGCCCTAGAGTATTTTTGTACATATTAAATGAATAGAAAACATATAGCCAGTGCTAGAATTGTGGGCCTATGCCTGTAATCCTAGCACATGGGAGGGCAGTAACAAGATCACTACAGCTTTAAAGATAGCCTTGCTTCCATAGTGGATACCAGGACAGTATGACTACAGGCAAAACAAAAAGAAAATTGCATAATAAAATGCTCATAGTAACTACTCAAGAAAAAAGTCCATTTCTCTTTCCCTTTAAACATAAGATGATGCTTTTGTGTCTGTGTGTGTGTCACAGACTAGTCCCTTGGTTTTAATACTCTTACTTCAGCTTTCCTCCATTGCCCCTTTGTAAACCACATTTCCTTCTGAAGAATTGAGTTCTCCAGTTCTTCTAATTCTAATAGGCTCTTAGTGTTGCGGACATGCTTCTTAGAATTGCCTTCATTGTGTCCCATAAATTTGAATATGTTGTGTTTTCATTCTCATTCAATTTTTGGGGGGGTGGTTTCGAGACAGGGTTTCTCTGGATTGTTTTGGAGGCTGTCCTGGAACTCGCTCTGTAGACCAGGCTGGCTGGCCTCAAACTCAAAAAGATCCACCTGTCTCTGTCTCCCAAGTGCTGGGATTAAAGGTATGTGCCACCAACACCCGGCCTCTCATTCAATTCTGAAGAGTTTCTCATTTTCTTCTTCTTTTTTTTTTTTTTTTTTTTTTTGGTTTTTCGAGACAGGGTTTCTCTGTGGCTTTGGAGGCTGTCCTGGAACTCACTCTGTAGACCAGGCTGGCCTGGAACTCACAGAGATCCGCCTGCCTCTGCCTCCCAAGTGCTGGGATTAAAGGCGTGCGCCACCAACGCCCGGCTCTCATTTTCTTCTTGATATGTCTTGAACCAGTTTTCATTCAGTAGTGAGTTGTTCAGTTTTCATGAATTTGTGTAGTTTCTGCTGCTTCTATTGTTGATATCAACTTTGATCCATGATTGTCAGAATGCAAAGTTTTATTTCAGTTTTCTTATATCTTTTGAGACTTGCTTTGTGTCCAAGTATGTGATCAATTTTGGAGAAAGTCCCATGGTTCCTGAGAAAGTATACATATATATATATTTTTTTTTTGGTTTTTCGAGACAGGGTTTCTCTGTGGCTTTAGAGGCTGTCCTGGAACTAACTCTTGTAGACCAGGCTGGCCTCGAACTCACAGAGATCCGCCTGCCTCTGCCTCCGGAGTGCTGGGATTAAAGGCGTGCGCCACCAACGCCCGGCTGAGAAAGTATATTCTTAAGTGTTTGGGTAGAATGTTCTGTTAAGTCTGTTTGGCTGATGCCTTCTCCTGGGGTACATGCATGTGCACAGATAAAAAACTGTATGCATAATAAATAAATAATTTAAAAAATCATAGAGCTGAGCAGTGGTGGCTAACACCTTTAATCTCAGCACTTGGGAGGCAGAAGCAGGTGAATCTCTGAGTTCAAGACCAGTCTCATTACAGGTGGTTGTGAGCCACCATGTGGTTTCTGGGTCTTGAACTCAGGACCTCTGGAAGAACATGCAGTGCTCTTAACCTCTGAGCCATCTCTCCAGCCCTATTCCATGATTTTATTAAAAATAAATTTTATTTGTATTTTCATGTCTTGAACTGTTTTCATTATTTCATTCAACTGTGTGTTCACAGTCTTCATTAAGGCATTTATTCATATCCTCTTTAAGGCCCTTGAGTATATTCATAATTGCTATCTTTTTTTTTTTTTTTTTTTTTTTTTGGTTTTTTACGAGACAGGGTTTCTCTGTTTTGGAGGCTGTCGGTCTAGCCTGGCCTCGAATTCACAGAGATTCGCCTGCCTCTGCCTCCCAAATGCTGGGATTAAAGGCGTGCACCACCAACTCCCGGCTCCATAATTGCTATCTTAAAGTCTTTGTTTTGTGCTTCAGCTAAATTGCATTTCTCGGGGTCTGTTGCAGTAGGTATTACTGGATTCTGGAAGAGGTACACTGTCTTGACTGTTCATGTTTGTATTTTTGTGCTGGATCCAGGCATCTGGAGTTATGATATTTGAGGTGTTTTTATTCTTGTCTTTGTTGGGTGTGTGTTCATTCTTTGGTAGATGTTGCCCTCTCTGGGTCCTAGGCAAGTATGGTAGCTTTGGGGTCCTTGGTAGAGAGTGCTTCTGTGGGTGGACCAGTGACCCAAAGGAATGGAGATGGGTTAGGAGGAAAAGCTGATATAGGTCATGGGAAGAGCTAGGGGCCTAGGGCCTGCATCAAGAGGCAGAGTCCCTAGGGTGTAAAGGTTGGGTGGGAGGAAGGGCTCCTACAGGTAGGAAAAAGGGTAAGTCTTAAGACAGAGGAATGAAAGAGCCAGGGAGACCCTGGATCTGCACTAAGAGGCAGAGCCTCCAGAAAGGGGAGATGGGTAGGGAGGAGGGACTCCTGTAGTTGTTCTGCAGTAGGAGGAAGAGTAAGTCTGGTGAGATAAGAAAGGGGGACAGGAAGGACAGTAAAATCACCTACCTGCATCTCAACCCAGTGTTGGCCACTGTGTGTCCATGGTAGAAAGTATTTGTCTGGATTAGTGACTGACACAAAGGAATGGAGATGAGCTATAAGGAAAAGCTGAGATGGTTGTTGGACTAATGTGATACTTTTAATGTAATGCCTTTCTTTTCCATTCTCTCAGATAGTTATGACCAGAGCTCACTTCAGGCAGTACAATTGGAAGATGGCACAACAGCTTACATTCACCATGCAGTGCAAGTCCCTCAGTCTGATACCATCTTGGCAATTCAGGCTGATGGGACAGTGGCAGGACTGCACACTGGGGATGCCACAATTGATCCAGATACCATTAGTGCTTTGGAGCAGTATGCAGCAAAGGTATGGCACTTTGCACTTCAATACTGTCTTTGGACCAGGGTGTATAGTTCAGTTGTTGGAGTGTTTATTGTGACATGCACGAAGCTCTAGAGTCAGTAGTAGCACCACATAAACCAAACGTGGTAGCACATACCTGTAGTTCCAGCACTTTGGAGAGAGCAGGAGGGTCAGGAGTTGATTTTCATCCTTAACTACCTAATAAGTTGACAGCCAGCCTGGGACACATGAGATCCTGACTCAAAGACGAAGCAAACAAAAAAAACCACCAAAAAGAAGCAGCAGTAGGGCTGGGGGAGATGGCTCAGCAGTTAAGAGCACAGACTGCTGTTCTAGATGACCCAGGTTCAATTCCTATCACCCACATGTCAGCTAACTTTTAACTCCAAGATCTGACACCCTCACACAGACATTCATGCAGGCACATAAAATAAAAATAAATCATTTTTAAAGAGAAGTGACAAGCAGCAGCTAGCAATTTAAAATAAAAAAATATGAGTCATTACTAAAGAATTTAGCATTTATTTTCAAATAATTGAATGCTGGGAATGTAGTGCATGCTTATAGATGATCATAGGTTTAAAGACAAACTTGTGTTACATAGTGAGATCCTGTCTCAACAACAGTTAGAGAAATGCAGAAAGAGGGCAGGAGAGATGGCTCGGTTAAGAACATTCTTGCTGGGCAGTGGTCGTGTGCGCTCCTCTTTAATCCCAGCAATTGAGAGCAAGAGACAGGTGAGTTCAAGGCCAGAGTTGGTTCCAGGACAGCCAGGGTTACACAGAGAAACTTTGTTTCAAAACAACAAAGAACACTTGTTGCTCTTGCATAGGACTCAGGGCTGACTCCTAGAATCCACCTAAAACTCCAGTTCCAGGGGACCCAAAAACCCTCTTCTGACCTCCATAAGTACCATGCACTGCAATTCAGTTTGTATACTGACATACATAAAGGCAACATACCCATAAGATAAAATTTAAAAAGAAATTTAAAAAGAAATAATTGGGGAAGAATAACAGAATGAAAAACACTTTAAAAAATAAATAGTTGATAATTTACAGAAAGGAAGTCAAGGATGAGTTCCATAAAGGATATAATAGAGTAGAAATCAGAAATGAAGTTAGAGATTAGAAAAAAATGAAGGAGGGCCTGGAGAGATGGCTCAACAGCTAAGATCACTGACTGCTCTTTAGAGGACCCACGTTCTATTCTCAGCGCACACATGGTAGCTCACAGCCATCTGTAATTCCAGTTCCAGAAGACCTGACACCCATGGCAAAACACCAATGCACATAAAATAAAAATAAATAAAGTTTAAAGGAAAGAGAAGGAAAGGTTGAGGAAAGCTTTGAATTTTATATAAAAAGACTAGTTTTTGAGCCAGTCACGAGAGTGCATGCTTAGGTTGAATGAGGATCTCTCAAGTCTAGGACATCATGACACACTGATACAATATAATAAAACCTCTAATAAAGGAGAAAGAAAGAGCTGGGCGGTGGTGGAACACACCTTTAACCCCAACATTAGGCGGCAAGTTGATCTCAGTGAGTTCAACACCAGACTGATCTACAGAATAAGATCCAGGACAGCCAGAGCTACACAGAAACCCTGTCCTGAAAAAACAAAAAAACAACGACAAAAAAATGTGTCTTGAGAGGGAGGGAGGGAGGGAGGGAGGGAGGGAGGGAGGGAGGGAGGGAGGGAGGGAGGGAGGGAGGGAGGGAGAAAGAGGGGGGTGAGGGAAGGTTCTTAAAGTTTTTCTCAAATAATTAAAAATTTTTGGACATTGTGGGAGGGAGGCGTGGAGATATGGCTATAATCCCAGCATCAGGGATGTAGAGGCAGAAAGATCAGGAATTCAGGTTCAGCCTTGACTGTATAATGAGTTCAAAACCAGAGTGGACCACTTGAAACTATCTCACCTACTTACCCCAATTTGGAGGAGCTAATGGTATATTCAATGGTAGAGTACAAGGTACATGGGGCCTTGGGTTCAATCCCCAGCACCCTGATAGCAGGCAAATAGTAGTTGCTTACTTTTTAATTTGAGAGGGATTTTGTTGTTGTTGTTTTTGGTTTTTGTGGGGTTTTTGTTTGTTTGTTTTTTGGGGGGAGGGAGTCGAGACAGGCTTTCTCTATGTAGCCCTGGCTGTCCTAGAACTTGCTCTGTAGACCATGCTGGCCTCAAACTCAGAGGTTCATCTACATCTGCTTCCCAAGTGCTAGGATTAAAGGTATGCACCACCATTGCCTGCCTGGGAGATTTTTAAAAATATACAATGATAGCCAATAATAAATCTGCACCTAGCCTAAACCATTATCAAAATATGAGACCTGGGGCTAGAGGTATAGCTCCTTTGTAAAATGCTTGTATAATGTGTGTGAGGTCTTAGGCTTAGTCCCCAGCACTGCAAATAAATTAGTTAAACCTTTTAAAGCTTTCTTTTATTTTTTTAGGTGTCCATTGATGGGAGTGAAAGTGTAACAAGTACAGGATTGATTGGAGAAAATGAGCAAGAGAAAAAGATGCAGGTAGGTAAACCTGAGTGATGTGTGTGTGTGTGTGTGTGTGTGTGTGTGTGTGTGTGTGTGTGTGTGTGTGTGTGTGTGTTTTCAAGACAGGGTTTCTCTGTAGCTTTGGAGCCTGTCCTGGCACTCACTCGGTAGACCAGGCTGGCCTTGAACTCACTGAGAGCTGCTTGCCTCTGCCTCCCGAGTTTTGGGATGAAAGGTGTGTGCACCACTGCCCATCGGTTTTATGTGTTTTGTAGTTGGATTTTTCTTTAGGCTGCCAGCTCACAAATAAGGACATGGAGACTGATTAATTATGAAAGCTTATCCTTAGCTTCGGCTTCTTCTCAACTAGCTCTTATAACTTAAATTATATTATTTAATATAATTTACATATACATATGTTTATATTAATCTACACTCTAGCATGTGATGTTAACCTTTCTTCCATCTCAAATCTCCTGTTTCATATCCGTGTCTCCCTGGCAAATCCATGCATCTAGATTCTTCCTCCAAGTTTCTCTGTATTTATTGTAAAAACAGTAATTTCATCTATTTTATTTCTGTAGAAGTACCTCAAGTTTTATTTTATTTTTTCTAGATTGTCTTACAAGGACATGCTACAAGAGTAACTCCTAAGTCTCAGCAGAGTGGAGAGAAGGCATTTCGGTGTAAATATGACGGATGTGGAAAACTCTATACAACAGCTCATCATCTTAAGGTACATAAGAGAGAGGTAGCTAGTCACAAATATACTATGGCAGGCACTGACTGCTAGCATGGTCACGCCTTGACATCCCTGTTCACTCACATTCAAAAGATACTGACACATATTCACACCAAGACACACAAGAACCTGGACAGACTCAGCAACTGTCTGCTCTCTAAGAGCATAGATGATTTATCTCTGTGTTGTGCCCAAGTTTCGAAGATCCCCAGAGACCACCAGGGAGACAGACCTGCCAAACTGCAAAAGCAAGGTTTTATTGTTCATCCAACCATGACAGGGACCCCATCTGGCTAGCTGTCAGCCTACAGAAGGAGTGAAATTCCCTGTCTACTGCTAGGTTTTTGTTTTTTTTGGTTTTCTGAGACAGGGTTTCTCTGTATTGTTTTGGAGGCTGTCCTTTGTAGACCAGGCTGGCCTCGAACTCAGAGAGCCACCTGCCTCTGCCTCCTGAGTGCTGGGATTAAAAGCGTGCACCATCAACGCCTGGTTTACTGCTAGCTTTTAAAGACCAAAGTTACAGGATTACATCAGTAGGTACAGGTTGGTTTCTGATTGGTTGACATTTGGGAACAATTAGAAGAATTTCTCAGTCTTATTTTGGCATGAAACCTGTGTACCAATTATTCTCATTGGTCAGTGCTGAGAGGGAACATTCTGTGGTTTCTATGGCTTTGTCTTGTTGCTTGTAGGTGGCCTGTTGTACATAGATACCAATAGTTTTTAGAACTATATCCTGGAGACTACAGGGGAGGTTTTTGGTCTCCTCTGGAGTTTCTTTTGTGGCCAAACAGTTCCCAGGAACCAAGTATCTAGGAGACTTGGCAATCTGGAGTTTCTTTATGTCATGTGCTGAGTCAGAGGCCTATGTGTCTTTTCTGTAGCCTGTCATGGCTGCTAAAGCAGGGTGCTGAGTGAGGGTCTGGTCCCTTCATCTATATCCCTTAATCCTGCATATTCTCTGGTAGATACTTACTCAATTCAGTACTGTAGTGGTGAAACACAACTCTCATAAAATTATGTAAATTTGCTTTAATCCCAGCACTCAGAAGACAGAGCCAGGCAGATTTCTATGAGTTCAAGCCTGCCTGGTCTATAGAGTTCCACAACAGCCAGAATCCTGTCTTGAGCAAACAAAACAAAAACTGGTTATCTCAGGTTGGAATGTCACTCACTCGGTAGAGTACGTAAAGTACATGGCTGGTCCTGGGTTCATTCTCCACCCCCACATAAACTTGTCATGGTGGCACATGATCAAGGGGTGGAGGCAGAAGCCAGGCCAGGATACATGAGACTCCCTTGCAGAGAGGGTGTGAAAATTAAATAAGATAATACTGTTTATATAAATTACTAGAAAGAGCTGAGCAGTGGTGGTGCAAGACTTTAATCCCAGCACTTGGGATGTAGAAGCAGGTGGAACTCTGAGTTCAAGGCCAGCTTGGTCTGCAGGGTGAGTTCCAGGACAGCCTCCAAAGTTACAGAGAAACCCTGTCTCGAAAAACCAAAAAAAGAAAAAAATAAATAAACAAATCAATTACTAAAAGGAATGAACCCATGAAAGGTTCAGTGAGTGAATGTTGGACATTGACATGAGTACTCGTATGTCATAGCAGCCTTCAACAGTGGCTGCTATTTTACCTCACTTTATAGAGAGGACCTTAAGGCTTAGAAAGGCAGACTGAGTGGAGATGTAGCTCTGCAGAGTGTAGTTGGAATTTTCTTTGGGCTGCCAACCAGCTCCCAAATAAAGACACAGAGACTTATTAATTATGAATGCTTGGCCTTAGCTTAGGCTTGTCCCATTAGTTCTTTCAACTTAACCGGTTTCTATTCATCTTTGTTTTGCCTCAGGACTTTTTACCTTTCTTTCATTCTGTACGTCCTGCTTTCCTGCTTCCTCTGTATCTGGTTTGGTGGCCCCTGGCATCTCCCTGCTTCCTTTCTTCCTCAAGCCTCAATTCACAACAACAAAAACAAAAAACAAAAAAACTGAATGGCCAATAGTGAGGGAGGAGATATAGATAGAACTTCCATGCAGGGAAGTTTTTTTGGTTTTTCGAGACAGGGTTTCTCTGTATTGTTTTTGGAGACTGTCCTGGAACTCGCTCTGTAGACCAGGCTGGCCTCGAACTCACAGAGATCCGCCTGCCTCTGCCTCCTGAGTGCTGGGATTAAAGGTGTGCGCCACCAACGCCCAGCCGGCCATTCAGCTTTTTTTTTTTTTTTTTTTTTGGTTTTTACCAGACAGGGTTTCTCTGTATTGTTTTGGAGGCTGTCGGTCTAGCCTGGCCTCGAACTCACAGAGATCCATCCACCTGCCTTTGCCTCCCGAGTGCTGGGATTAAAGGCGTGCGCCACCACCGCCCGGCCATTCAGCTTTTAATTAGCCCAGTCAGATGCTTTTGGCAGGCAAGGTAAAATAACAACACATCTTTACATAATTAAATAGTTCTGTCTGTATTTCCTCCCTTGCTATTGGCCATTCAGTTTTTTATTAGTAGACCAATCTTGCCTTAGGCAGGCAAGGTGAAACAGCAACACATCTTTATATAATTAAACAAATGCAACACATCTTTACATAGTTAAGCAAATATTCCACACTATAAACAAATGTAATACATCTTTACATAATTAAACAAATATTCTGCAACATAACAATTGTAACACATTTTTGCATAGTAAAACAAATATTCTGCAACAGAAGAGTGCTTGACCAGCATGAATAATCTATTTCTAGCATCCCATAAAGTGGGTGTGGTGGTGCACACCTGTGATCCCAGTACTCAGGAGGATCTACAGGACAGTGATATAACTCAGTGATAGCTATTGCATCTCATATCTGAGGCCCAGTACTGTAAAAGTTCAATTCCCAGTACTGTAAAAGAAAAGGGGGACGGACATAAAACAGCCATTTACTAGTAGAGGAAAATTTAGTTTTACCTTGAGAACATCTTACTCACAAAACATGTAAAGGAAACAGAATCCTGCTTGTATTTTAATTACATACAGGTCCATGAGCGCTCGCACACAGGAGACCGGCCTTATCAGTGTGAACATTCAGGGTGTGGGAAAGCATTTGCCACAGGTAAGAAAAGAAATTTTCTTTCATTTTTTAAAATTTATTTATTTTTATTTTATGTGCATTGGTGTTTTGCCATGTGTGTTGGCAGACAATTGTGAGCTGCCATGTGGGTGCTGGGAATTGAACTCCGTGCTCTTAACTGCTGAGCCATCTCTCCAGCCAAAAAATAAATTTTCTGTGCTTCGTAGTTCAGTGGGGGATTGCCCAGGGCAAGCCAGAAGCAGGATCCCTTCTGTTTTCTGAGACCATAGAAGCACCGATCAGTTTTTTAGTCTTGTGCTTTTTTTTTTAATATTGTGCCTTCATGAATTTATGTATACCATGTATATGCAGGTGCCCCTATAGCCCAAAAGAGGTGATTAGAGCCCCTGGAACTGGAGTTAGAGGCAGTTATGAGCCACGTGATGTGGGTGCTGGGAACCCAAACCTATGTCCTCTGCTACAGCAATGTATAGTCTGAACTGCTAAGCCATCTAAGCCAACTCCTTCAGTCTCTTTCCTAACTGCCTCTTGTCCTGCTTGCTCTGGACCTCCCTCTGTGGTACCATTTTTCTCCAGAGATCTAGCTCTGCCTACATATTTGCTCTTCTTTATTCCATCCTCTATTTTCTTCTACCAAGAAAATTAAAAACCAGGCATGGCAGTGAACAGTTTTAATCCCAGCAGAGGAGTCAGAGGCAGGTAGACCTCTATGAGTTTGAGGCAGCCAAAACTGCCCTGCCCCCATGTTGACTTAAAATATAATTAATAAAGGCCTAGAGAGCCACAGAGAATTGAGTCATCTGTCATGGGGGTACTAGGAATTCAACATAGATCCTCTACAAGAGCAACAAGTACCCAGAATCGCTGAGCCACCTTTCAAGCCCCACCCTATTTTAACATTTGGCTTTTTCTGTTTAGTTTTTTTGTTTTTTGAGGCATTGTCTCACGCTGTATTCCAGGCTGTCCTCAAATTGATGACAGTGCTCTTACTTCAGATGCCATATACTTGGATTACAGGCATGAGCCACCACACCTAGTTTGCCTCATACGTTTTTTTGAATGGTAATCCTATTATATATGCCTAGTATTTTATCCTGGTTATTTGCTGTGTATTTCCTATGTTAATCTCCAAATACTTGTTTAGAGGAGTATTGTATTGCTAAATTTCTTTGTTGTTGTTGTTGTTGTTTTTGTTGTTGTTTGTTTGTTTTTTTGTTTGTTTGTTTTTTTGAGACAGAGTTTCTCTGTGTAACGCTGGGTGTTCTAGAACTTGATCTGTAGACCAGGCTGGAGTCAAACTCAAGAGAGATCTGGCTGCCTTTGCCTTTCAGGTGCTGGGGTTAAAGGTGTGCACCACTAGTGCCTGGTGTTAAATTTCTTTTATGATTTTCTTAAAGGTTATGGACTAAAAAGTCATTTCAGAACTCATACTGGAGAAAAGCCATATCGGTGTTCAGAAGATAATTGTACAAAATCTTTCAAAACTTCAGGAGATCTACAGAAGCACATCAGAACCCATACAGGTACCAGTACAAGCAGAGTAGCACATCTAGACCAGGAATCACTGTTTTGACTGTAGCACAGGCTGAGGTTGGATTTGCAATGCTTCTGCATCAGCTTCTCCAGTTCTGGGACTGCAAACTATTGCTGTCAGGGATTCTTAGCCTGCGGGGTGGAGGTGGAGGCTCTGAAAACACTGAAGGGAATCATTACCAGGGCTTTATCTTTTTTGTTTTGTTTTTTGAGACCGTGTTTCTCTGTATTGTTTTGGAGCCTGTCCTGGAGCTTACTCTGTAGACCAGGTTGGCCTCAAACTCACAGGGATCCACCTGCCTCTGCCTCCCAAGTGCTGGGATTAAAGGCGTGCGCCACCAACGCCCGGCCCATGTGCACTTCTTTCCAAGGAGAAGCCCCAGAAACATGGACAGTAGTCCTAGATCACCAATCATCTCAGTTTTCAAAAATTACCTGAACAACAAGCTTATTTTCCTAGGATTACACATTTAATAAGTAGCCAAATTGAGAACAGACCCTAAGGTACAGGATTCCTCTCCTGCTGCTAAAGGAATTATCTGAGGTCAAGTATGGTAGGTAGTCCCAGCGCTTGGAGGCAAAGGCAGGCAGATCTCTGAGTTACAGAACAGTCTGTTCTACAGAGCTAGTTCTGGGACAGCCAGGGCTACTCAGAGAAACCCTGTTTAAAAAAAAAAAGATTCTGTCTCCAATAAATATTATAAATAAATATATATATACACATATATATGTATATGTTCAGCAGATATTTTGATGTGTTCTGTGGGAAGTACTACATTAAAGAAATAGCAAATTGAGGTCAGGCGCTGGTGGCACATGCCTTTAATCCCAGCACTCGGGAGGCAGAGGCAGGCGGGTCTCTGTGAGATCGAGGCTGGGCTGGACCGACAGCCTCCAAAACAATACAGAGATACCCTGACTCGTTAAACCAAAAAAAAAAAAAAAAAAAAAAAATCCCGCTCCAAAAAAAGAAATAGCAGGTTGTTTTCTTTTTATTGCATTTATTAATTATTATGGATGCATACACTACGCTATGTGAATGGAGGCATGAGGACAGCTTACAGAAGTGGGTTCTTACCACCTACCATGTAGTTCCCACAGGTAGAACTCAAGCTGTTAATAGAGTTGGTAACAAGTGCTTTAACCTGCCACCTAATGAGCCATCTCACTGACCCCAGAAATTATTTTTCTTTGTGGTATTATAGAATAAAATAAAAAAATAAACCCTAAGAAATTCTATAGTTCAAACTTAATCCCTTTTTTTAAAAAAATGAAAATTTATTACACTTATTTTGTATGTGTATGCATATGTGTGCCCACATGATGGGAGCTGAGAACAGTTTTCAGTTGATTCTTCTTTTATCCTTTAGGTTCCAGGGATGCAACTCAGGCAGTTTGTTTTGGCAGCAAGCATTTATACACACAGAGCCATCTTGCTAAATCTTAAACTTTATTCCTGAACCTATTTTTCTTTTATCTTTTCTCTGACTTTTGGTCTATGCTTTTCTCAACTCAGTTTTTTTTTTTTTTTTTTTTTTTTTTTTGGTTTTACGAGTCAGGGTATCTCTGTATTGTTTTGGAGGCTATCGGTCCAGCCCGGCCTCGAACTCATAGAGATCTGCCTGCCTCTGCCTCCTGAGTGCTGGGATTAAAGGCGTGCACCATCACCGCCCGGCCTAAGCTCAGTTTTTAGTATGCCCACTTGATTCTAACTTGGAAAGTAACAGTCATTTATGAGTGTTGAATGCTGTTCAGGTTTCTTTATTGATCCAAATTTGGAGTGAAAGATGCATTCTCCAAAGACACAGTGCTTAGAAGGGAAGTTCATGGCAGGCAGGCTGCAGACTAGGGTAAGCCCCTGGCAGAGCCAAGTGATGAGACAGTCCCGTTCTCTGTGTATTTTATTTCTTACGCCGTTTAATTTATTCCCTTTTGTATCTTCAGGAGAAAGGCCCTTTAAGTGTCCTATTGAAGGCTGTGGTCGGTCCTTTACAACATCGAATATCAGAAAAGTGCACATTAGGACACACACAGGAGAAAGACCTTACTACTGCACAGAACCAGGATGTGGGAGGGCATTTGCCAGCGCAACTAATTATAAAAACCATGTGAGGATACACACAGGTAATGATTGCTAATGTCTTGGCCCTGTCTTTCAAGGCTTCCAACTAGTCTTCCTCCCAGTTCACGTGGTGAGAAGAGGTTAAGCAGCTTCAAATTTTCTTTGATGAGCCAACATATGTGGTGGAGCATGCCTTTTATCCCAGCACTGGGAAGGCAGTGCCTCAACGCTTGAATGCTTGCTTACAGGTGTAAGGGTCTGTCCTTGATCCTGGCCCTACACAAATAAAGGAAGAAAGTAGACAGACAGATGAGGGAAAGATTCAGAATGTAAAACTCAGTGCATTTATGTGAAGCTGATCAGGTGAGTTAGCATAGCCAACAATAGGAGCTCAAAATTTTGTGAGGGAGGAGGAATGCTGGTGCTCACCCATAATCCCAGCACTTGACAGGTGGAGTGAACAGGATCAGAAGTTCAGGGTCATCTTTGGCTATACAATGAGCATGATGCTAGCCTAAGATACATGGACACTTATAAAGGATCCCCCCAAAAAATAGTTTGCAGTCAAGTCTGTTCCCATTTTCTTGGTGGGGGGTACTTGAGACAGGGTTTCTCTGTGTGGCTTTGGAGGCTGTCCTGGAACTCACTCTGTAGACCAGACTGGCTTCAAACTCACAGAGATTTGGCTGCCTCTGCCTCCCAAGTCTGGGATTTGGTTCTGGCTCTGCTGTTTATTTTTAGAAGTTCCACTTTCCAGTTGTAGATTAATTATGTCTATCTATGTGTGTCATCTTCTTTCCTTAGGAGAAAAGCCATATGTCTGTACAGTTCCTGGTTGTGACAAAAGGTTTACAGAATATTCCAGTTTGTATAAACACCATGTGGTTCATACTCACTCTAAACCATACAACTGTAACCACTGTGGGAAGACATACAAACAGATCTCCACACTGGCTATGCACAAGCGGACGGCTCATAACGACACAGAGCCCATTGAGGAGGAGCAGGAAGCCTTCTTCGAGCCTCCCCCAGGTGAGAGCTTTGACAATTATGTCTGCTTTGAGTTTGAGAATCAGTTATGATCATGAACATATGGTCCATGCTCTTTTCTTAAATCCTTCCGTTTCATTTGCATACTCACACAAACCTGATTTACAGCTGGCAAGTGCTGTAGAAGGATACAGATGCTCTGGGTTGTGGAAGAGGGGACTTAGAATCTGTGAGGGCTGAGAAAGCTTCCTGAAGAAATGTTCTTGGAAAGATTATGAGGGTGGAAAGGGATTAAGGAGGCGAAGCAGTAAGGCTTGGGGGAAGGAAGAGATCAGATCAAAGGCTTGGGGATTTACAGATAGATGGAGGGCTGGACAAATGGAAAAGGTTAAGTGCTTGGTAAGAGGAAAGCGAATTGGAGCCTTTGGAGGAAGCCTGGCCAATGTGGCAGTTCTGCCTGGGAAAAGCAGGGACTTCTTTTCTCATCTTCAACACCTGAGTGAAATGTTCAGAAACATTTACATTAAAAATGTTGTTGAAATCTGGGCGAGTGGTGGCTACGCCTTTAATCCTAACACTGGAGATAGAGGCAGATAGATGTCTGTGAGTTCGAGGCCAGCCTGATCTACAGAATGAGCTCCAGGACAGTCAGGGCTACACAGAGAAACCCTGTTTCAAAACAAACAAACAACCCAGCTATGATTGCTTTTCTTAAAAAAACAGAATTATGCTCTGTTCTCACAGGATCCCCTGGGTTTGTAACACTTGGAATAATGGTATATAAACAAATGGAAAGAAAAGGCGTAAAGTGATATGTAAGAGCATTACACCTCAGTGACTGTTGCTATCTGAACACTAGATTTGTACACTAAAATCCTTTATATGCTAGTATTCTTAGATTAGTACTTAGAGTATTGAGTTTCTCTTTGAAGAAGGACTTTTTTTTGTGCTCCATGGAAGCTGTTAAATGTTGAGAGAAGAGAGAGATCAGTAATCTTTCTGGTTGCTCAGTCTAGCAGTGCTGGATGTTGAACTCATCATTCACTTTCTGATCCTATTTTTGAGGGTTTTGGGGGGGGGGACAGTTGCTGAGACAGGCAACTGCCTCAGCCCAGATAACGTGCCATTGCATAGTATTTACACAGTGATGTCATTGTGTACCAATAGCTTGCTGTCAATCACGTGTGGGAAAGACTGAGTAAATTAATAGATTGTGTGTACAAGCCATTCTGGTTTTGTGGTTAATGTTTATAGAGACTCTTTTATTACCTTCATGAATCTTAATGACTTCAGGAACTTGGTACAGACTTGCCCCTCCCAGTAGGGCATGTCTGTGTTTGTGTGTAATTCCTCCCTTCATGTCCCCAGTATGTATGTGCACAGTAGCACATAATCATTCCATCTGAGAGTAAAGGAGAGCTCTTATGAAATCAGGGCACCCAAAGTGGATGGATAGGGTTCGATTGGACTTACTTGGCTTAGCATAAGTGAATTTAGAAGAATTAATAAGAGGTCCTGAAAAAAAAAAAAAGAGGTCCTGAAAACTATATCCATGATTTAGAATATAAAAATCTGCTTTTGTTTTCTTTTTGTTTGTTTTTTGAGACAAGGTTTTGTACAATCCAGATTGGCCTTGAACCAAGGTTGAACTACCTCCACTTCCTAAATGCTAGAATGACAGGCATGCACTACCATGCCCAGCTCTCAAGTCCGCTTTCTTTTCATATTTAAAATCTCTAATGTTGCGCAAATAGATTGGTTAGTTGATCAAATAAGTTCTCATTTGTTTTAAACAGGTCAAGGTGATGATGTTCTTAAAGGGTCCCAGATCACATATGTTACAGGTGTAGAAGGAGAGGACATTGTATCTACACAAGTAGCCACAGTGACCCAGTCTGGGTTGAGTCAGCAAGTTACACTTATATCCCAGGATGGGACTCAACATGTAAGTATCTGTTAAAAAGCCGAGGAAGTTAAATATTTCTTTGCACCTGGGATTGAAAGATGGGCTGAGCCCCCATGGAGGAAACCCTTGAGTAGCAAATCATGAAGTTTGGGCTTTGGCATGTAGACCAGTGGTTTTCAACCTTTTTAATGCTGCAACCTTTAATACAGCTCCTCATGTTGTAGTTACCCCCAACCACAACAGTTATTTTCATTGTTACTTCATATCTGTAACTTTCCACTATTTTGAATCATAGCAAATATCTGTGTTTTCCAGTGGTCTTGGGCAACCCCTGTGAAAGGGTTGTTTAACTGCCCCAGGACTAGTGACCCACAGAATGGAAACATTGCTCTAGGCAGTGATAGATCTCCCAGAGTTTTCCATAGTCTGCTGAGAAAGATAGTATGAAGTAATAATAGTAGAGGATATTTGTATCCATAGGATCCAAATAGTGTTGGCTGCTGTGGTTCAAAGGTGAAGGAACAAAGATCATAACCACAAGGAGACTGTGAGCTTCAATACATCTGAGCTGGAGAACTGGCTCAACAGTTAGGGGCACTGGCTTTTCTTCCAGGGGTCCTAAATTCAGTTCCCAGAACTGACACAGTGGCTTACAACTGCCTGTAATGGAGTCTGATGCCATCTGCTGGTGTACAGACAAAAACTCAAATATATAAGTACACAAATGCAGCCCTGGCTGGCTTAGAACTCTGTGTAGACCAGGACTTGAATTTACAGAAATTCTCCTGCCTCACCCCCTAAGGTCTGAGGTTACAGTTGTGTGTCACCATACCCACTTTCTTTGTTTTGATAACCTTTGTTTTTAAAACAGGGTTTCATTTAGCTCAGGTTGGCCTGGAATTGTCTATGTAGCTAAGGCTGACTTTGATCTCCCAATCCTCCTGCTTCCATCTTTCAAGTGCTGAGATTACAGTTATGTTCCACCACTCCTGTCCTGGTCTTATAACTGTTAACATGCTGATACTGGCTAGGAGGCAGAGCACTCAGGATTGAGAAATACCAAAGCATTCATGCCATAGCCCCTAGCTTTGTCATGTGGTTCCACAGCAGAGTCTGTATTTGCTTAACCTAGTATTTGTTCATCCTCTGTCCAGACACTTTTTTTTATATTTTATTTATTTATTGTGTATACAGTCTTCTGCCTGCATGCCAGCAAAGGGCACCAGATTTCATTCAAGGTGGATGTGAGCCGTGAGCCACCATGTGGTTGCTGGGAATTGAACTCAGGACCTCTGGAAAACCAGTTAGTGCTCTTAACTGCTGAGCCATCTCTCCAGCCCCAGACACTTTTTCTAAATCAGATAATTAATTGCATACAGAATCTGTCTGATGTTGTTTGATCTAGCTTTCCTCTTTTCTGGAGCAATTTCTTCTGCAGCAACTCCAAACAACCTCTAATGAGATTTAATGACCTAATAGTTTCTCTTTGGAGCAGCCAGTAGCAGTGTTGAGTATCTCTAGAGTTTATAGAGAACCCACCTCTGTACCATTCATTCATGGCTCTCTTAGACCCTACAGAGTAAGGCTAATTCTCCCAAAACTTTCATCCTCATCTCAATGTTGTGTTCTCTCTAAACTTAGTCTCTCCATTTCTTTCATGAATTTTTTTTTTTTTTTTTTTTTTTTTTGGTTTTTCGAGACAGGGTTTCTCTGTGGCTTTGGAGGCTGTCCTGGAACTCGCTCTGTAGACCAGGTTGGCCTCGAACTCACAGAGATCCGCCTGCCTCTGCCTCCCGAGTGCTGGGATTAAAGGCGTGCGCCACCAACGCCCGGCTTCTTTCATGAATTTTATTTCATTTTTTTAGCCATTTAGATAGTTTTTGACTTTCCATTCCTTGAAGACTTTTTTTAAAGATAGTTTGGCTAGTGCAAAAGGGTGGTATCACAGTCTAGAAGGAGGAACATTTCTAATATAGCCACGTGATAATTTCTCATGATCAGGGGTATATACTTGGAGGGTATATGAACTACTTTGGCAGCCTGAGAGACAGAATAAATGATTGGTCCTCAGAAATCCGAGACCTTCTATGAGAAGGTCATTCAGTGGGAATTTAAGGATTTTCATGAGTTTGCCAGGCATAGCCATCAGAAGGTGACAAAGTGTGACCCTTCTGGGGGCGGCAGATGGTTAGTAGTGGCTGAGGTGTCAGATGCAGATTTGATGTGATAAAAGGTGGGGTTTTGGAGGTTTGTAAAGAAGTTGAAAGGTGCAACTGGGGCTGGAGAGATGGTTCAGAGGTTAAGAGCACTGACTGCTCTTCCAGAGGTCCTGAGTTCAATTCCTAGCAACCACATGGTGGCTCACAACCATCTGTAATGAGATCTAGTGCCCTCTTCTGGCCTGTGGACATACATGCAGACAGAATACTGTATATATAATAAATAAATAAATCTTTAAAAAAAAGAAAGAAAGAAAGAAAGGTGCAAATGGAGAGATGGCTCAGCGGTTAAGAGCTCTGAATGCTCTTCCAGAGGACCCAGGGTTCAATTCCCAGCACCCACATGGCAGCTCACAACTGTCTGTACTCCAGGTTTTTTGTTTTGTTTTGTTTTTTTAAGATTTATTTGTTTTATTTACAGTGTTCTGCCTGCATGTATACTTGCAGGCCAGAAGAGGGCACCAGATCTCATTACGGATGGCTATGAGCCACCATGTGGTTGCTAGGAATTGAACTCAGGATCTCTGAAAGAGCAGCCAGTGTGCATAACCTCTGAGTCATCTCTCCAGCCCTGCAGCACTCTCTTACAGATGTACATGCAGACAAAATACTGCAAATGAAATAATAAACAAACAAACAAACAAAAAGAAGTTGAAAGGAAGTCTAGATGGTAGGGAACAGAGGTTGGAGAAGGATGCAAGGTGTTGAGGTAGAGATGGAAAGAGTTAGGCCCAATACCTGTATAGATAATAGATTATGGCAGAAGTAAGGGTCTAAGCTGGGTATAGTGGCTCACAACTGTAACCACAGTAAGCAGGAAGCTGAGGCAGGAGGATTACTGCAGTGTTCCTTTCCATAGTGGGTTAGAACAAGACCTGTTTGGGGGAGGGGAGACGTTGACTTGTTTGATGAGTTAAAGAGTATATTACACTGTAAAAAGTTTGTTTGCGCCCACAAAGTAAACTTATACGAGGATTAGGCTCTGTCCTTAGTTAAGATTGGCAAATGTAACTAGAAATATTGACTGATTTGTAAAATGCACTGTGTATGCAGGTCAACATATCTCAAGCTGACATGCAGGCCATTGGCAACACCATCACCATGGTAACACAGGATGGCACACCCATCACGGTCCCCACTCATGATGCAGTCATCTCCTCAGCAGGAGCACACTCTGTTGCTATGGTCACCGCTGAGGGCACAGAAGGACAGCAGGTAACTACTTTTGTTCACTCTTAGTCAATACATACATCACTGTCAACTTCCATAGAAGCTGTGTTGTACTTTCCTACGTAGGTGTGTGCACTTCAGGCTGACTCCTAGTTTTTTTGTTTGTTTGTTTGTTTGTTTTTTGACTTTTCTAGATAGGGTTTCTCTGTGTCTTTGGAGTTTATCCTGGCACTTGCTCTGTAGACCAGGCTGGCCTCCAACTCATAGAGATCTTCCTACCTTTACTTCCCAAGTGCTGGGATTAAAGGCGAGTGCCAGGAATGGCCAGCCTGACTCCCAGTTTTATAACTTCTTTAGCCAGTTAGTCCTCAGTGCTATTTTTTTCTCTATCTGTAAAATAGGAGTGATAGTTACATCATCACCATAAAGTTCATGGTAGGATGAAAGAAATGAGGGATTAGCGAGACACCTCAGGGTTAAGAAAGAAAGAACTCGGGCTGGAGAGATGGCTCAGAGGTTAAGAGCACTGACTGCTCTTCCAGAGGTCCTGAGTTCAATTCCCAGCAACCACATGGTGGCTCACAACCATCTATAATGAGATCTGGTACCCTGTCTGACCTGCAGGCATATATGCAAGGAGAATGCTGTATACATAATAAATAAATCTTTAAAAAAAAAAAAAAAGAAAGAACTCTTGCTGTTCTTCCAGCACCCATGTTAGGCTCCTTTTATTTCTTTTCTTTTCTTTTTTTTCTTTTTTTCAGACAAGCTTTGTCTGTGTAGCCCTGGCTGTCCTAGAACCAGCTTTGTAAACCAGGCTGGTCTCTGCTTCCAGAATGCTGGGATTGAGGGCATGTCCACCATGCGCAGCCATATCTTACAACTGCCTGTAACAGCTGACATCCAAGGGTACCCACACACACATAGCATATACTTCCATAGTCATAAACACATTAAAATTAAATTTTAGAAACACAACTATGTGGTACACACCTTTAATCCCAATACTTGGGAGATAGAGGCAGATGGAGCTCTGTGAGATTGAGGCCAGCCTGGTCTACAGAGCAAATTCTAGGACAGGCTCTGAAGCTACACAGAAAAACCCTATCTCGATAAACCAAAAAAAAAAAAAAAAAAAAAAAAAACCAGGAAGGAAAGAAATACAAGTAGGCATACATACAGGTGCATGCCTTTAGTCTTAGTACTTGGGAGCCAGAAGCAAGCAGATCTTTTGAGTTTGAGTCTAGCCTAGTGTACAGAGCAATTTCCAGGCCAACCAGGGATACTTAGTAAGATCTTGTCTCAAAAACTAACAAGCAAGCAAATAAACAAACAAAACCACCACCAGAACAAAGCTAGAGAGATGGCTCAATGGTTAAGAGCATAGCTGCTCTTCGAGGACCTGTTTCAAGTCCCAGCACCCACATGGCAGCTCCTAAGCTTCTGTAACTCCAGTCCCAGGGATCGTGTGGCCTCTTCCAGCACCTGGCTCACAAGTAGTACACAGATATACATGCCAGCCAAACACCCATTGCATATAAATCAATTTTAATCTGTAACTGTAGCAAGAGGCAAAGATCCACAAGTCTAAGGTGGGGAATGTATCTAAGGAGGTATTGCTGTTTGTCAGTTGTCACCAGACCTTCCAGGTTCCCAGTTAAGTGGAGAAAATAGTCCAGTCCACTCTGCGGTGTGAGCTAGTCAACATTTATGACTTCTTCAGCATCCATTTAGGGTAGCAGAACCTCATCTCCCAAGCTAGTGAAGTCAGACATGGCAGATCCATTTCTCCAGTACCCTTTACCTGTTTTGCCATCAACTTACTTCATGATCATAGGTAAAGCCCATCTGAGGAGAAGCCTTAACTTCCTCAAATGAAAGAGTCCAACCGAGCCGGGTGTTGGTGGCGCACGCCTTTAATCCCAGCACTCGGGAGGCAGAGGCAGCCGGAGCTCTGTGAGTTCGAGGCCAGCCTGGTCCACAAGAGCTACTTCCAGGACAGCCTCCAAAGCCACAGAGAAACCCTGACTCAAAAAACCAAAAAAACAAAAAAAAAAAAGAGTCCAGCCTAGACAATACATAAGGTTTGTTTCAGCAGTAAGTGCCTACTCATCTCTGATCCCTCACAAAGTAGACCTTAACCTGTTTGAGTCATAGATACAATTTTTCATGTGTGTTTTATTCATTTTGTTTCACTTAAGGTTGCAATTGTGGCTCAAGACCTGGCAGCATTCCACACAGCCTCTTCGGAAATGGGACACCAACAACATAGCCATCATTTAGTAACTACAGAAACCAGACCTCTGACCTTAGTGGCAACATCCAATGGCACCCAGATTGCAGTTCAGGTGAGTACAGGTTAAGTAGACAGTAATACATAGTTCTCAACCTGGCATTCTTTTTTTTTTTTTTTTGGTTTTTCGAGACAGGGTTTCTCTGTATTGTTTTAGAGGCTATCAGTCCAGCCCAGCCTCGAACTCACAGAAATCCGCCTGCCTCTGCCTCCCGAGTGCTGGGATTAAAGGCGTGCGCCACCACCGCCCGGCTTCAACCTGGCATTCTTATGTGTAACTTCTGTGTTTATGCCATGCACATCTGGGTGTCTAACTTGAAGACAATTAATATAATGGAAGTGATCTCAAAATGACCAGAAGCCAGGCAATGGTGGCATGTGCCTTTAATCCCAGCACCCAGGAGGCACAGGCAAGCATATCTGTGTGAGCTCAAGACCAGCCTGGTTTATACAGTGAGTTCCAGGACAGCCAGAGCTATGTAGAGAGGCCCTTTCTTAAAACCCCTCCCCACCCAAAAACAGACCAAGGCTGGGGGTATGGCTCAGTTGGTAGAATCCTTGTTTGGCATGCTTGAAACCCTGGAGTCTATCCCTAAGACCACATAACCAGGCCTAGTAGCTCAGGCCTATAATCTGAGCACTCAAAAAGTGGAGGCAGGAAGATCAGAAGTTGAATGAAGGTCATTGGCCTAAGTTATATGAGGCCTTAATCAAACATAAACTAGCAGTGTTCTTTACTGCCTTTGCTTTGCATATTCCTGGGGAACTTACAGCAAGAGAAAAATTGTCAGGTGTGTGTCCTTGTGTGTACCCAAGCAGCCATCTTCACTGTCAAGATGCAGTCTAAGGAGGCAGGTTTTATAAAGCACATGGGAGCTACTCCTTGGAAGTGAACCTGCTGTGAATGGACCCTCAGTGATTCCTCCAAGAGTGCCCATGTAGCCCCAGAGTGAGGCGTGTCAGTCAGAAGACGTGGACAAGTCCCTGTTCCCGCAGAGAGTATAAACCTACATGCAGGTGCAGATAGCTTCTGTATGGGGGAGTGGTTTCTCCTCTGTTTACTTGATAAACAGGAAAATGCCAGCCATTGGTTAGTTTTCTTTAGTTCATGGATGCAGAAGCTAACTCCTGAGGAAATGCTCATTGGCTGTGGTAACTTAGCATTTGAAGAACTTAAAATTATCTCCATTGTTCTCATATGTAGAAGTTTTGATTTTATACTGTGACAAATTAACAAATATTTTAGAAATCCCAACCATCAGAATTAGAGAAATTGTACTTCTTCCACTAAACAAAACCCCAGATTAGGGCTTTGGATTCTTAATGTGTGTCCTCTGGTTTCAGCTTGGAGAGCAGCCATCTCTGGAAGAAGCTATCAGGATAGCATCTAGGATCCAACAAGGAGAAACACCAGGGTTGGATGATTAATGCTCAGAACCACAGAGCAATAAAACAGGAGGAAGGAGCCTTTCATCTTCTGACTGCAGAAATCCCTGAGGCCCTGCCCTGCAGAGCAGAAGTTCCATTCCTGAAGCACTGTACACGTTTTTATGCAAGAGTGGAGAACACTTTCTTCTTGACACTTTTGTGTGCATAGCCCCTGGAATAAATTCCCAAAGTGATTCATTGTGTACAAGGAAGTATGAAATTAGGGCACTACAGCAATTCTTCATGCTACTCTATCACACAGCCGACTTCTGGAATCCACCCACAGGACTATCCCAGTCTATACAGAGTCAAGATGAGATTTTAACTTACTGTGAAAAACAAAGTAAAGGCTGTCTCTAACGTGCCGACGGCTCTCCATGTCAAACAGTCATAACTTCAAAGCCATCACAGAAAATAAAGGATGCAAGCCTTCAGGTGTCCCTCAAGTTAAGTGTCTGGAGTTTTTGTCCCACTACACACCCATTGTTATTTGTATTTCAAGGATTGAAGACCTCATTTGTAGTGTCCCATCCCTGTTATATAACATGTCTTCAAACTAAAATGCCTACTATTTTAGCATTACATTGGATTGTGTATAAAATTTGAAAGTTTGGTTATTTTAAAGTAAAACACTAAATTCAGTGTTTGCAGCCTGGTGAGGCATGGTAGCCTGTGCCTGTAATCCCTGTGTTGAGGAAGCTGAGGGAGAGGGAGTACCATAACTGAGACTGGCCTTCACTGTGTAGTGAATTCCAGGTCATTCCTGACTACAGAGTAAATACTTCCTCAAAAAACAAAAGAATATCCAGTGTTTGGGTTGTTAAAAATTCTACTCAACCTTCTGATTTTTTGCTACTGTTTTTTTATGATAATCAACTATGAGAATTTCCCAGAGGTCCAGTTTAGGCTTATAGTCCTATGGTTGGAAATGGATTTACTCTAAAATCTGGGTTAGTGAGTTGTGTAAATTATTTATTTTTGCTCTTAAGCTTTTGTTTTAAAGCTTATTTACCTTAAAGTTTATTATTAATTTTGAATACAGCCGTTTTTAAAACAATATTTTTTGTTTGTTTCATTAAATTGGTCTGGTGTTGGGGAGCGTTGCACAAGGATCTACACTGTAACAGCATAACCCTATAGACAGGCCAAGAGCATGTCCTGGATAGGTAAAGAAAATACACTTCTCTATATATTACTGTGTACTCAACAGTCTTGGGAAAACTTATGATTTATGTCTCCAACTTACCTAGGCCTGGCAATTCTAAAAGGTAGGGCAGGCCAAGATTGGATAGCCCTGGCTTTCTACCTCCGTGTCCAGTATGGGTTTTATACTATACCTCAGTAGTCTGGAATGTTAAGTCACTATAGCAGGGAATATCAAGATGATTTTGGTTTGATACCTTCTGCTTGCTTAATAGCAAGAATTGAAAGCCCTATTTTTTAAAGATTTATTTTGAGGGGCTGAAAAGATTGCTCAGCAATTGAGAGCACTGGCTGCTTTTCCAGAGGACTTGGGTTTAATTCCCAGCACCCACATGGCAGCTCACAACTATAAGTTCCAGGACTTTTGACACCCTCACACAGACATATATATAGGCAAAACAACAATAAGTAAATGTTTAAAGAGTGTTTATTTTAGCTGGGCGTTGGTGGTGCACGCCCTTAATCTCAGCACTCGGGAAGCCGAGGCAGGTGGATCTCTGTGAGTTCGAGACCAGCCTGGTCTACAGAGTGAGTTCCAGGACAGCCTCCAAAGCCACAGAGAAACCCTGTCTCGAAAAAATAAAAATAAGAGTGTTCATTTTATGTGTATGGGTATTGTGTTTACATGGTTGTTTATGTGCCATATTGTGCAGTACCCATGGAGATCCTAAGAGGGCATCAGGTCCCTTGGGAACTGGAGTTACAGACAGTTGTGAACTGACATGTGGGTGCTGGGAGCTGAACTCAGATCCTCTGCAAGAGTGGCTGGTGCTCTTAACAGAGAAACCATCTCTCCAGCCTCTTGGTTTTACTGTTTGTTCTGGTGTGTGTGTGTGTGTGTGTGTGTGTGTGTGTGTGTGTGTGTGTGTGTGTGTGTGTGTGTGTGTGATTTTGAGACAGGGTCTAATCTATAGCTCTGCCTAACATGGAACTGGAATTACAGGCAAGATCCACCACACCATTGTCTAATGTCCAGAGTTTAGCAGTGGACCCTTTGGGGCTTCAAAAAGAGAAGGCCAAAGGGTGTTCTTCAGCCGCCAACTTGGGGTGTCAGAGCCCTGCCATGTCCTCTTTTTTGTGTCAAGCAGTATAACACAAAGGGAAATGCTCTGTTTCAGTTGACACAAATGTTTCCTTTGATCAGAGTCGGAGCTCCAGGGTCATGACTAGTCATTTAGAGAAGCCCTTCAGGGCTGATTGATTACCTAGCTCGTGAGACCCTAGGTACGTGCCAGTGTGCAAGTCATCCAGGCCCTGCCTTCATTCATGATAATGATGTGTACACATCATAGAGCACCCATCTGAAGCAGGGTGGGCAGACCTGAGAATATGGCAGGTCTCAGAGTGGCCCAGGTGGGCTTACTCTTTCAGCATGAACACCTCAACTACACTCAGACTCTCGAGTGCTTCACTCCAACCCAGGCCCGTGCCAGGGGACTGAGCAGCACTTCTTAGCTAAACAGTTCTAATAAGCCCTATTATTTACAGCTGAAAAGCCTTCCCACTGGCACCCAGAGAAAATGGGACATAGGGTGTTGTTCTTTGTCCCTAATGCATCTAGTGTCTAGCAAAGTAGCTTGCTACCTCAAAGTATACTAGAACTGCTGTGATCTCAGCAAAAGCAGTGGAAAGGAGTCCTCCCAAAAATAAATCCTCCAAAGGCACTTGAAAACAAGCCCAACAAACAGCAGGTTGAATATCAGTCTGTGTGATAAGATCCCGGTGGGGAAACAGCCAGCTCTACCCCGAAGTGACTTGAGGCCCCAACCAAACCTGTTGCAAGCCCAGGAAGACAACAGCCCTGAGGGTAAAAGTGCTTACTTTGAAACCTGACCTCAATCTCACAGACACTGGAGGCTAGAGAGAACTGACCATGCGAATCAAATTTCTCTCTCTCTCTCTCTCTCTCTCTCTCTCTCTCTCTCTCTCTCTCTCTCTCTCTCTCTCTCTCTCTCTCTCTCTCACACACACACACACAATTTGTGATTGTTTTGTTGTTTTATGTACATGGGTGTTTTCCCTACATATGTCTGTACTGCATGTGTGCTTGGTGCCCATAGAGGCCAGAAGAGGGCATATGGATCCTCTGTAACTGGATTTCCAGACAGACCATTGTGAGCTGCCATGTGGGTGCTTGCTCTTCCAACTTCTCTGGAAGAGCAGTCAGTTCTCTTAACTGCTAAGCCACCTCTCCAGCCCTTAACAAATCCATTCCAGGACAGCCTCCAAAACAATACAGAGAAACCCTGTCTCGGAAAAAAGAAAAAAGAAAAAAGAAAGAGGAAACACATTGCCCGCAGTGTGTGCTCCAGATGACTTCCTCTGGCCTCCACAAGCAGCTTAGAGGGCTTAGTCTTTTTCTTCCACATCCATCTCCCATCCCTTAAGATCAAACTAATGGAGCTCATAAGCAGTCTGAAAACTGCAGTTAGTGCTGAAACTGGATTCCACTTTTTCAGCCTGAGGAACTCGCCATCCAGTACTCCCTGGTTTCAGTTAAGATTGTGGGCAGGGCCTGGAAAGATGGCTCAGCGGTTAAGAGCACAGAAACAAAGACCTGAGATAGTGGGAGCTCAGTGACTCCGGCTGGCAGCTGGGGGAACCTGCATAGGACCAAAGTAGGCCCTACAAATGTGGATGTCAGTTGTGTGGCTGGGCAGTCTGTGGAGCCACTGGCAGTTGGACCAGGATTTATCCCTTGTGCTTAAATTGACTTTTTGGAGCCCATTCTCTTTGGAGGGACACCTTGCTCAGCCTAGGTAAAGGGGGTGTGGGTCTTGGCCCTGCCTCAAAGTATGTGCCAGACTTATTGGCTCCCCCATGGAAGCCTTACCCTCTCTGAGGAGTGGTGGGGGGATGGGTGGGGGGAACTTGAGGAGGGGTGGGAGTGGGAACTGGGTTTGGTATATAAAATGAGGAAAGCTTGTTTTAAAATAAAAAAATAGAAAATAAAAGCTCAAGCTGGGCCTTGGGGGCGCACACTTTAATCCCAGCACTTGGGAGGCAGAGGCAGGCGGATCTCTGTGAGTTTGAGACCAGCCTGATCTACGAGAGCAAGTCCAGGACAGCCTCCAAAGCGATACAGAGAAACCCTGTCTCGAAAAACAAAACAAAAAAACAAACAAACAAAAAAAAAGCACTTGCAGAGAACCAAAGTTCAGTTCCTAGTAGCAATGTAGGTGACCCACAATGGCCTGTTACTCCAGCGTCAGGGTATCTGGTACCACCTTGTGTACTTTAAGGATTCTTCATGCATGTGGTGTGCAGTCACACAGTCAGAAACACCAAATTGTTGCCTGTCAGCAACTGTTTAACAGTGATCCGGGAGTGGATCAGAGCAGAAGTGGGCACAGTGGAAGCTGTTGCCAAGGAAAAACTTATACTTTGGGGAGGTGGTGGTGCACACCTTTAATCCTGGCACTTTCTATCGTTTTGGGTTTTTGCTTTGTTGTTTTGTTTTTTCAAGTTAGGGTTTCTTTGTGTAGCCCTAGCTATTCTAGAACTTGCTCTGTAGACCAGGCTGTCCTCCAACTCAGAGATAGATCCTCCTGCCTCTTCTCCCCAAGCGCTGGGAACTTACTCTTTTTTTCCCCCTTTGGTTTTTCAAGACAAGGTTTCTCTGTATTGTTTTGGAGGCTGTCCTGGAACTCCCTCTGTAGACCAGACTGGCCTCGAACTCACAGAGATCCGCCTGCCTCTGCCTCCTGAGTGCTGGGATTAAAGGAGTGTACCACCAATGCCTAGCGAGAACATGCCCGTTGAAGTTCTTACAAACTTATCTATAAAGTTCCATGCACTTGGTGCTGTGCCAGGGGATACAGTACAGAGTGGTGAGGTGCAGGCAGTGAAAGAATTCAACGAGACAAGAAAACAAAGTACTAACTTTAGCAGATGTACTGCTGCCCAGCAGCCCCAGCAGGTAAGACGGCAGAGAGAAATGGCACAAAAGTATTCTTTTTCCTGGGGGGGGGGCGCTTGGAGGGGTGCTGTCTGTGTCGTCAGTCGGCAGTGTCTCCGTGTCATGGGGTCCAGGGTTGTTTAGTTCTTTGAGAACCTGTGTGGTGCCTGGATGACTAGGCAGTACCTCATTGTTTTGCTGGTGAATGGGTTTTACAGTATGAATTGTTTCTCCTAGGGGCAGGCTTATTGTGCATTGCAGCAAAGGTCCTGAGGGGTCAAACTCCTCATTTAAGACTGGCATAGTCTGCAGTAGTGTCAGGGTACCCTAAGACAGACTGCAGCCAGCCTTGTTAAAGAGTAACTCCTTTTGATCCTGTGGAGACAGCAGAGCCTTACTCTTGAGCCCAGCATGATCTGAGGCCAAAGCCGTCTTGTTGTATTAGCTCAGCACTTAGATTAGTCGCACCACCATAAAATGGCATCTAAACTCCCCACACAGATTAGCAGGGACAAATCACCCCAGAGGACGAAGGTCATCTTCTAGAGCTAGTTCAGAGCTGAGCAGGAATATTGGAGGAAGGGAAGTCTGCTTGGTGGTGGTGTTGTGCTGTGTGATAGAGCAGAGTGCCGCAGGGGCACTTTGGACAAGACGGGGAGTGTCATCAGGAGGTCTTCTGTGGTGGCAGGCTGGCATAGATGCCGGCAGTAATGCAGATAAACCTGAGATAATACCAACTGGGGTTCAAGGGCCTCAGTCTAGGGATAGTTTCAGAAGCCTTTCTGGGGGCTGGAGTTGGGAGCACTAACTGCTTTTCCTGAGGACCTGGGTTTGACTCCCAGCACCCACATGGCAGCTCACAACTGTCTGTAACAGTTCCATGGGCTCAGACTCACACAGATATGTATGCAGACAGAATACCAATACATGTAAAATAAATAAATGCAAAATTTCAA